TCTATGCTTGATGTGTTCTGTGAGAGTTTCTTAAGTGTTAGTGTTAATGGCGTGGGAGGTAAGTGTGACAAATGTCCCAAGGCCAGATTCGGTATCAGCAATGGAAGCCATGCTGTTTCCATACTTGCCATTTCAACCCATGTAAAGGGATTTTCCAGACCATGAATTTTAGCATTTGTGGCCATGCCCTGAGAAAGCTGTCACGGTGGTAACGGCGTTATTTAAACCAGAAAGGAACTGTAAAGAAACATTTGAGCCTAATTCCAGTGGTGTGCTGTTAGAAAAAGCCAGACTTGGAAGCACTTGGTGGGGGCAGGGGGTACAGTGGGAGAGACGTCATTTTGGAATGTGTTTCAAATAAACACACTTCACAAGATATAAAGCGGTGTTTGCCTCAGGGTGCGTATTCATATGAGAGGTTTTAAGGCTGGTGGAAGTATATGCGAGATGAGGGTTATTTTCAGGGCATTCGTCTCTGCACCTATTGCTAGCTATGCTGTATTGGTAGGGCTCACTCACTGTCTTAGTTATAACTTGGAATTACCCTCAGAGACTTGTGAAATATATAACATATAATCTTCCAGAGTATTCTCCCGTGTGCCCATAAGGTAAAAGCAGTGATCATTGCAGAGATGTACTTCAGGGCATTGGTTGGGGATCTCTGACCCCTGAAATGTGATGGATCTAGAAATGGGAGTAAATATAGGTCCTGGACACAGAGGAAAAGCCTCAAGGTCAAGGTCATGGGGCAGCTGCTACTCTGCTCTGCCAGCGCTGGTCACCGTCAAACCACTCTCTAGCTTGTCTGGGGAATGGTAGCCTAGCGATTAAGCCTCTCCATGTCCCAGACTATACTTGTTTGAAATGGTCATCTCCCATCACCCTCTGTTCCTGGGACTGAGGTCTCATGTTACACTCACTAGGATCATTTTCTGTCATCTCTTTGTCCTCACTTCACTATGCCCCTGCTCATCAACAATACATGGCTGCATTGCTTTGCCTTGGGCTCTGAAGTTTGGCTCAGACGCTGTCTCCATACTCCTGTGGGCTCTGGCACACAATAGTATATCCCCAATCACTTCAGTGTTTCCAAACTTTGGATCAACAGACATTTGCTGACTATGGAAGCTTAGGTTCTGTGCTATGTCCTTCAAATTATGCCTTCCCCAGTTGTTTGTAAATGAAGATCTTGTTCCCACTTTTCCAAAATCACACATTTTCATTGGTGATTTTCATTACCAGAAAAACACAGTCTGAACTCCTTATCCTCTCTGTAGAACTATGTATGTGTTCTATTCCATGATCAAGCTCACAGCTTACTCCTTCTTCAGTGGCTGCAGGAGCAGAGGGGTGGCCATAGCAACTTTGCACAGCCTGCTCAGCTCTGCCATAACCAAAAACAAAAATGCCACCCAGATCATCTTCCCAAGATAGTGTAGCCAGGGACTAGATTTACCTCCTGCCTGAAGCAGTCAACAAATTGACAGAATATATGAGGATGCAATAAAGGACCGTGGTCCCTGGGAGAAGGTCAGCAAACAAGGGGAGTCCCACAGTCCCCTCTCTTGCTGACTACCTGAAGAAACTTCCCTCAGTGCTGAGGAAAGAATGCAGTAGGCCCCCTGAGACTTCCTGGGTTGGGGTGACACAACCCAAAGTATAAGATGACCAAGACATGGAGTAGAGCTCTCAGGATAGAGTTGGGGGAGAGCTGCACACAGACAGAACTGTGGGGTCTGTGGAGGGTGTCCCTTGGGTATTCTGTTGAACACCATCAGCATATTCTGGGGAAAAAACTACTAGAGGCCAGGGACAGAGCCACCTGAAAGGATCAGACACAGAGCCTGGGCTCACAGGGCTGACCAGAGTCCAGTTCTCACATTGTTTAAAGGTGTTGAGATGGCAGGAATGAGCACTGCTTAGATTTTAAAAGCCAGACTTCTTTCTCTGATTCCACGCTTACACTGGGCTGTACAACCTTGTGAAGCATGAAATGTCATGAGCTAAATTTACCTCCCACAGTATTGTCATAACCACACCCTTTTCCTATCTCACAAGTTGGTGTTGAGATTCTAAGTGATTTCTGCAGTGACAGACAGTTTACACAAGAGTGGAAAACTTCCTAGAGGGTGTCACAGAATTAAAGACACTGACTCATGACTACAGGAACAAGCCCTGGAAATGCTGCTGTACTAGACAGTTAGATGGACACAGAGAGCCCCATGCGTGCATAATGTCAGTCACTGAGAAAGTCATCTTTTAGTTCCTCTCAGGGATACTCACCTAACCTCAATATCCTTGTCCTTCAATGAAAAGATAGTGTTTGCTGGTAGCTTTTGGGATGTGTATAATATTTTTGCCTATTCAGAAAAGCTATATTTGAGTGATGTATCATTGGTCAATTTTGTGAATCTTAGGAGTTATTGTGAATGCTATTAATGGCATTTGAGAATGAATTTCCTAAAGAATTACCTTTGGACAGTTAAATACCATGAAGTAGACCCTCTGACAAAGCACAGTGCCATGAAGTAGGCCGCTAAGATGGAGAACAAGGTGAAGGTGTCTGTTTTTGTCATCTCATTAGTCTTGTTACACCCTGTGGTCAGAGTCCCAGCTAGTGCTTTAAGGCAAGGAAAATGAGCAGCAGTATGAATTACACAGAAACAACATCTGCAGATGACTTAATTCTCTGCATAGAAAATGCCAAAGCATCTTTGAAAAATGGCTAGAACCAATGAATTCAAGATCACAAGATACCACATAAACACACAGACACACACACACATACAGAATCACATTTCTGTATACTCACAATGAGCATGTGGAAATTAGAATTAAAGAACAAAAATGAACTGCAACTTCAACCTTATCCAGACATTACCTCAAAATGAGTCATGGGCATGAACATAAAACTCTAGAAATGTTTAGGGAAAAAATACATGGGAAAATGTGTAAGTTTTTAGGGCTAGACAGACTTGGCACCCAAATCATGATGAGAGAGGGGGGAGGGAGAGTGATGGATGGGAACGGAGAGAGGGAGCGGGAGAGAGAGAGAGAGAGAGAGAGAGAGAGAGAGAGAGAGAGAGAGAGAGAGAGAGAGAGAGAGGAGAGAAGAAACTTTGTGCTCTGTGAAAAGTTCATATGCAATGAACTGAATGTTTTCCTCCCCCAAATTAATATGCTGAAATCCTGACCCTACTATGATGTCGTTAGAGCATCCGGACTCCAGACATAATGAGGTCACGAAAGTGGAGTTCTCCAGGGGTTCAAGTCCTTCTTAGCGAACCGAGAGAACTAGTTACCCTGTTCCCATGAGACAAAGCCACAACAAGAAGATCCAGTGTCTTGCTCTATACCCTCAGCCTCCTAAGGTAGGAAGCAAATGTCTTGTAGCTGTAGTCACACACATCTGGTGACATTTTTTGTAATGCACTCCAAGCTCAGGCACCATGGGATGTTCCTGGAAAGATATACTGCAGTTTGAGAAAATAATTTGCAAGTCTTATGCCTGTGAAAGAACTGGTATAAAGAACTTTTTAAAATCCAGGAGTGAAAGGGCAAACAAGCCAATGGGGAAAATGAGCAAAACCTGAAAGACATTTTACTAAAGAGGAACCAGATGGTTAATAGCGAGCAAAAAGAAATCATTCAACATCTTTACACATTAGGGAAATTCAAAATAGAGCTGGAGATGTAAATCCATGCATACCTATCAGAACAGCTAAACTAGAAGTCACACAAAATGTTTGCAATGATGCAGGGAGCCTGGATCACTTTTGCATCGTGGGTGTGAATGTAAAATAGTTCAGCCATCATAGAAAGCGGTTTCAGCCTGGCGGTGGTGGCGCACGCCTTTAATCCCAGCGCTCGGGAGGCAGAGGCAGGCGGATCTCTGTGAGTTCGAGGCCAGGCTGGACCGACAGCCTCCAAAACAATACAGAGAAACCCTGTCTCATAAAACCAAAAAAAAACAAAAAACAAAAAACAAAAAAAAAACAAAAAAGAAAGCGGTTTCAATGTTTGCAAAACTAACTGCAATAACTATACCTAGCAATTGTTGTCTTGGACAATTACTACAGAGAAATTAAAAAAAAACCTTATAGTTCACATAAACACCTGCACAAAAAATGTGCATGTTTTATTTGTATTAGCCCCAAATTGCAAATTACCCAGGTTAAACCAATTGTGGTACATCTGTGTAGTGGAATACTACTCACCAATAAAAAGGAATGAACTATTAATGCATACAACAGCCTTGGTGGGTCAGAAGTCGATTGTGCTGAATGAAGAAGAAAGAAAAGAAACAATTGCAAATGGTCACATGCTTTGTGATTCAATTTACGTAGCATTCTTAAAACAGGTATTGAGGAGCAAGCTAGTAGTTGACAGCAGGTATTTGGAGTAAGAAGCAGGGGGAGGGAGGAAGGTGTGCTTATAAGAGGCAGCATGGGAGGCCCACAGTGATGGGGTGTTCTATGTCTTGACTGTGCTGTCACTATCACAGCTAGGATAGTAAACTAAGCTGTGGTTTTGCAAGATGCCACCAGTGGGTACACATGATAACTCAGCATTATTTCTAACAATTACATGTGAGTCCACAATTCCCTAAATCTAAAAATAAAGTCATTTAAAAACTTGACGTTTTAATAAACACTCATCATTGTCAAGCTACATTTTGTGATTGATAAAAATTACCCACCTTCTTACATGAACGTCCCAATATTTTCTCAGCTATCTTACTGACTACCTAACAATTACCAAAATTATGAAAGACATGTTTTTGTATTAAGAACTGTTTGAGCAGCATAATAAAACATAAGTAAACGTGTATTTTAAAGGCTAATTTGGAAAGTGAATAAAATGCAGCCACATGCAAAAGGAGCTTTCTGTGAAGCAGGGGCAGCTGCCCATGCTGTGTTGACCCCGGGACACTGTGTACCCTGGATTCTGCATCTGGGTGGTCAGCAAGAACTGACCGTTTCCTGCCTTTTTTCTTTCAGGATCTCCTCTTCAGTGTGTGTGCCCTCAATGTCCTCTCCACCATCGTGTGCGCATTGGCCACAGCCATGTGCTGCATGCAGATGGTCTCTGCTGATGTCCTGCAGATGGTGAGTGACCCTGCTCCTGCCCAGACCCTCCCAGAGTGGCCAGCCCAGCCCCCCTGCAACCAACTGGAGTCTGGTGTATATGTGTTCTCTACTTCTGGTTAGAGAATCCTGGGTTCTGTTGGTTCAAACTGCCCAGAGATCCTTGGAGTCACCTTGTGTTGCACTCTGGAAAGAGGGATTTGGTTGCTGTAGCCTTACTTCAGACATCTGCTGATTTCCATGTTTATGATCGAGTCATCCCCCCTCCCCACCCAGAGCACCTGGGATGTGTCCCCTAGTAAGTCAAAAGCCTGCCGTAGTGGATACCCTCTGGGATCTTCAGAGCAAGACTTGTCCTTATTCTTGAGAATTCTCTGTAATAGAAGTTTGGAGTTGTTAGAAGATAATTTCTCAGACTGAAAAACTGCTGTTCTTTGCTTTGGAAATTTGCTAATTAACCCTGAGATAATGGTCCAACGGCCCTCATCTGGTGTCATGGCCAGGGTCTTTAGGGGAAAAAAAGACCTTCTGCTCCCATGGGAGTGGTAAGGTCAGAGCAGGGGTCACGTTCTTATTAATAAATGACATAAACGCACACCTCATGAGTCATGATGGCTCTTTGTTGTCTCAGCATGAATGGAGCACAGCCTAGAGTTCAATATATTATTGTGAAACTCACAATAAGAAGAAATTGGTATTGGTTTTTGGCCCTAAGGGTAGGAGCCCCTGTTGTGTCATTCTCCCTCCTCCCCATTTGCTATCTCTCTGCCTGCCTTTGTTTTCTCTTACTGTAACAGAGTAGCCAAGATGAAGAAAGCAGGTTTAGTTAGCATCCCGCTTTGGAGGGTGGGGAGCCCAAGGGTGCACAAACTCATGCGGTTGGCTTCCGGTGTAAACCTCATGGCAAACGGCAGAAGGGAAGGGGGTGCATGCTGGAGACAGAAGAAAGGGCTAACCTTGCTTGTTTTTTCAGTCCTGCAAACCTCCAGTGGTAGCTAACTCTGCTTCTTACAGTGAGTACTCACTGCCTCTAGATAGCTTTAAGCCATTCAGGAGGGGTTGACCCCTCTGACCCAAGCACTTCCCACTAGACCCATCTCCCAACACCACCACTGGGGGCTGGGATAAGTCACATTCAGGCTCTTTCAGCCTGACCCACAAGGCCACTGTGCCCTCCACCCAATCATGGTTTATGCATTTCATGGAAGAAAAGACAAGTTGTTCCTACAGTGGGCTTTTCTTTTAAGGCTTCATCCTCACCAACCCTTAGCAGAGCATCCGTTAAGCAAGACAGAAGGCCAGGGAGCACCATTACCAATATGTTAAAACTCCATTGGTCCTAATCGTGTGTGGCATGCAGCCTGGTGCACTCTCGAAGCGTACTTCCGCACAGCTGTCAGAGCGCGCTGACCTTTCTGAGAGGTCGCAGTGTTCTGAAAGGTGTCTAATTAAGCAGTTATTCAACAGGGTGAACTTTTGGCCTCATTCATCGAGGCCTCGTGTTGGCAATTTTCTCCAGCATGCTGCATAAAGGAAAGGTTAAATATAAATATCAGAAGCTTCTACCCATCTTGGCGGATTTTGCCATTGATCAGTAAATATCACACCAATTGTAGGTTGTAGATGATAGCAGTTTGTAGGCCCGTACTTTTAAACACTAAAATGAAAATTGCCAACTAAATAAGAATAAGGTATGTTCTAGCTGTGTAAGCATTTAGAATTAAACCAAAGTACACATTGTCCTCATTGGCTGCCACATGGAAGTAGGCCTGGGGTCATGTGTCAAGCGTGTCTGCATCTGAGCCCCACGGCTTTTGCCTCTGTGGTACCTCTGAGCACATGACCGAACCTGCTTGTCCAGAAGTTTCCTCACCTATGCACGGGGCCTTGCAGGACCACCTGGTGGTCATTTTTGATTTTTTACTTGTTGGCAGCGCTGGGGTGGAGCCTTGTACGGGCTGGGGAATAACTCTACCACTGTGCTATGTCCCCAGCTTTACCTTCATTTTTCAATGTGGTAGGAGTGTAAGTCAATTCCTGGACATCACAGCAATGACATCCCAACTGTGACATCACAGGAATGACACCACAGCAGTGACATCACAGGAATGACATCGTCACAGCACTGACTGCAAGTGCAGTGCCACTTTACTGTGCTAACTGTGGTATGCTGTGAGCAATCAAATTGTTACAGGAACTGCAAAAGCTATGTCTTAGTTTTCTGTCATAATGAAATGCCCTAGTGTAGGCTCCTATAAAGAGGTTATTTAGATCATGGTTTAGAAGGCCAAAGGGGCAAAACAGCATGGTGGATGGCATCACAATGGGCAAAGATATATGAAGAGCTGTGTATGCCCCAGCATCATGGAGTGGGGGCGGGGTGGCGCAGGAGGAAGAGCTGTTTACAGCTGTGGTATCTGTGAGACCAGCCTCGTGAACCTGTGGGCATATCACCACACACTGGTCTTGCTTCTTTTGCACCGAAGGCCATTAAGTGTTTGAGCCTTTCCATCCTGCCAGAAGTCCTGAGAGGATGGATCAGACAATGTGTAGAATTTTTTTAAATCGGGGTAGCCATATGAAGTGTGGCTGGCCCGGGCTGGCTATGGGAGCTGCACCCTGGAAGAAGTGAGCTTGCCTAGTGGGGTTGTGGATACACCCAGTCAGATGTAAGCAAGATGTTTAGGGAGATGCCTTGAGATCTCTTTTCAGTGTTACTTCATTTCATCCAGTTACGGAATTAAAGGAATAATATATGGTCGTTGGATGAAGCTAAATTGCATAGCAGTACATAAAGAAACGTTAATGACTTTCCTTACCTGCCCCTGGGAGAGACAACCGCTAATGCTTGGCAGTGAGCCCTTCCATTCATATCTAAGTGCATATACAAATGTTTATAAATAATTTTCCTTCCACGAATTCCACTTCCCCAGCCTAGTGCTTGTGAGGTAGTATTCCTTTGTAGTGCAGATTGGCATTTTCCCAATGATTAATGGTGTTGATTCTCTTTCTGTGTTTAATGGCTACCTATAGATCTTATGTGGAGAAGGGGACTTGACTTTTTTAAGATTGGAATTGTCTTAGTGCTGAGTCATAGAGTTCTCTGTGTACTCTCTGTACTCTGGACACAGGGGCCCAATGTGTCTCTTTCCCATTCCTACTTTTGCTTTTGGTATCCTGTCTTCCAGGAAAATGAAATTATTTCTTCTGAGAGTTTTGCAGTCTTAGTTGACATTTAGGAGCGTCTTGAGCTGGTTGTCATGCACATTGTGAGGGAGGTCCAGTTTTATATGGTCCCTGACACCATTTATGCCACTGAGTTGGCTCAGTGTCACTGGAGGTAACCAGTTGACCACAGACGTGTGGATTTATCTGGGGTCTCTCAGTTTTGTGTCATCAGTCTGTCTTTATGGCAATTCCTCAGAGCCCTGATCACCATGTTACAGTCACTTTGAAAATGGGTGTGAGAATCCTCCAGCTTCACTTATTCTCAAGATGGTTGTGAAATTCCACGTCCTTGGAGTTCCCTGTGAATCTCTGCATCAACTTGTCAATTTCCGAGATCACATCGGGATTGTATTAAGTCGGTGCGGCACTTGTGCATGTGCTGCTCATCATGCCTCAATGTTATCTTCCTGTGTTTTGACGTCTCAGTTCCGGCTGGATTTCCAACTGCTGAGCTCAGCTATGGCTCGTGTTAATTGCCAGTCATTCTTCTTTTATTTTTACTTGAGATTCTCAAAGTGAGAAGTATTATTTAAGTGTGTGTCTATGTTTGTGTGACTGTATTGTGTGTGTGTGGGTTCTGTATGTGTGTCTGTATGTATGTATCTGTGTGCAATCTGTTTCTTTCACTCTCTATGTGTGTCCGTGTGTAATCTGTCTGTCTGTTTCTTTCACTGTGTGTGTGTGTGTGTGTATGTGTGTGTGTGTGTGTGTGTGTATCTATGTGTCTGTGTGTCTTTGTGGTACTGGAGATTGAACCCTGATCTTAAACATGTTCGACAAGTGTCATACCAGAGTCACAGCACCTCTAAAAAGTACTAAGGTCACTACTTGGGAGCAGCCCTCATGAGCATGTGTGCAGCCTCCCATTGGCCCATTCCTCATAACCAACAGTCAAGGCTCTTTTCAGAGAGAAATGTGGGGTACTCCTGATGTATGTGCCCCACTCCTGCTGCTGTATTTACACACATTCTTGAACAACTCCCCACATAGGGAACCTGGGCTGAGGGGGTAAAATCTGGTCCTAGACCACACTCTGAGACCATGCCTTAGTTCCGGCTTCTATTGCTGTGACAAAACACCATGAACAAAAAGCAAGTTGGGAAGGAAAGGGTTTGCTTGGCCTGCACTTCTGCAGTGTAGTCTGTCATTGAAGAAAGCCAGAACAGGAACTCAGACAGGGCAGAAACCTGGAGGCAGGGGCTAATGCAGAGGCCATGGAGGGCACTGCTTACTGGCTTGCTCCTCATGGCCTGCTCAGTCTGCTTTCTTTTTTATTTTTATTTTTATTTTCCAGTTTAAATTTAGATAAGAAACGAGGTTGCTACACAAGTCAGTTCCAGGTCCCTCTCCCATTCCCTCCCCTCCTCCCGTGCCCTCCCCCCAACCCCCCCTTATCCCCTCATTCCCTCAGGAAGGGTGAGGCCCTCCATGGGGGATCCATAGTCTGTCATTTCATATAGGGCAGGGCCTAGACCCTTCCCCAAGAGTTCAGGGTGAGAGTGCACCTCACATTGTTCTATGGGAGTCCAAAGTCCGTGTGTATACTTGGGATGGGTACTGATCTGCTGCCCAAGGCTCAATAGATTCCCTAGGCCTCCTCACTGATACCCAGATTCAGGGGGTTATAGAAGCCAGGACCACCAGTCCAGGGATAGCTCCACCCACCATGGGCTGATCCCTCTCCCATCAATCACTAATTAAGAAAATGCCCTACAGGCTTGCCTGTAGCCCGATCTTCTGGTGGTATTTTCTCAATTGTAACTCCCTACTCTCAGATGACTTTAACTCATTTCAGGTGATATAAAGCTCTCCAGCATAACCCCATCTTGGATCTCTTAGCGGACATCAAAGGAGAACATCCTCCTGTACTGCCCCAGGGGAAGCCATGCAAGGAAGGCAGCCGTGAACCATCCAAGGGCCCTCATTCTGCCATACTGCCATCCTCACTTGACTCTGGAGTGTTAGCAGGCGCTAGCCATGATTCCTACTGTGGCTGATATGTAACTGTCATGTTAACTTTTCAGAGGAGTCCCAACTTGGTGTCATGGACTGACACAGTCACCCATTTGCTCTCTGGCCTCCTTGGTTGGTTGTAGGAACCACTACGCAGCTCTATAGTTGGCTCGTGGATACAGGCAACTCAAGGTCATGACTGTACCCAGGAGCTCAGCAGCACTAAGTACCCACATCTTCTCTATAACTTGAATGCATATTGGAGATAATTAGCTGCAGTTGGAACTAACATCATGAATGCACAAGATGGCGAGCATTACTCCTGTAGTCAACGCTGCTAAAGCCCAGCACTTCTAACGCGTGCCGGCATAGTAACTGCATGATGATACAATCCCTCGTATTGGCACAGCACAGTGGAGGAGGTGCTTTACCTCCTAAGTGTCTCTAGTGTTGTCTCTCATTTTGTTTTTACGTGCAGTCTCATTTCCCTGCTTTCTGCTGCATCGCCATTTCCCTCATGGCCACCTTAGCCTCAGCAGCACCCTCAGCTGTTACACAGCTCTGCCTGTCAGTCACCTTGTGGAGGTGCCGGATGTTCTCACCTCTGCTCACGTGCTCCCTTAAGTGGAGCCCCCGCAGAAAGGGCACACGAGTGTGAGCACACAGCTGGGAGACGTACAGGATGCTCAAGGTCGTGACCCACCCCAGGAGTTTAACAGTCACCCAAAGAGCCAGAATGCCAAGAGAAAGCTGGGGGCAGAGAAGGCAGTGAGCCAGGCATCAGGCAATTCCTACCCTCAGGTACCCAGACTCTTGCTGCCCAAGCCTGTCCTTCATCCTGTTCCCTTGCAGAAGATAGGGACAGAGACAAGTGGCTTTGATAGGAACCTTCATTTGAGCCTATTGCATGGAGCTGTGACACAGGATGGCATTTCATATTACATTCCTGGTGGCACAACGGGAACGGTGCAGTCTCGTGGGCCTCAGTGGTCATTCGGTGTCTGGAGACCAGACTTCTGACTGGTAGTCTGAGGTCCATTAACCTCTTCATAGACTCCTCCAGGCTACAGAAGCTAGACTGTGTGAACTTAGCCAAATTTTAGGGGCTCCATGTTGTAGGCCTTGGGCAGCTACCCAGGGTCAAATAACTGCAGCTCTCAGTGCCCTGGGCTTTCAGATGTTCCTGGAAGAAGCCCCTTCTTCCATAACAGACAGGACATAAGGTCTCCGGTGCACACTGCTATTGGATGAGTGATAACCCCTAGGGGAATTTGTGAGCAGCCCAGCCAGTTTCTGCACACAAGTGTGCTGGTGTCTCCATGTGGTTTAGACAGCCCAGGAAGACAGAACCACTCAGGGATACCTCAGAGCCCATTTTCTACCTTCTCTGGGAGATGTAGAATTATGCTTTATACCTGGCCGTGGAGGTGTAGATGTGAGACTCCGGAGCATGGGGCCTGAGTCGGGGAGGACATGGGCTGGCAGGCAGGCCTTCCAGTCACGGACACTCAGCCTAGGCCTGAAGGAAGCCTGGCAGGTGGCCAGGTAGAAGGAGCTAAGTTGCCAGGAAGAGGAAACGAAGCACGTATGGTGTGGAGGGTGGCTGTGCAGACCTTGTTCGGAGCAGGGGGTGGTTGGCACTGGTTGGAAGGAAGCTGGAAACTGGATGGAATTCGGTGTACAGAGGTCATGATGGTAAAAGATTTTCCAACAGCATGAGCTCATCGGGGCCGGTTTAAAAATAGCTCCTGCACAAGATGGAGACTGCATGCCAGGAGGAGAGGCCAGGCAGCTTGCTCCTTCGATGCTCCGTTGGCTGCTTCTGCGGGGGCAGGAAAGCAAGGGCACCACAGCAGGCAGGCCGCCATCCCTCCACTCGGCTGATGTCGGCTGAGCACGTGCCAGGCCCCGTTTAGGAGAGGATGGAGGATAAAACGCAGGCAGTCTGACCGTGTACTCGTTACTTTTCCATTGCTGGGATTAGAACACCATGACCACGGCCACTTATAAAAGAAAACAGGAAAGACAAAGTCATGCCCAGAGGTTGGGTGCCTTTGCATTCCATAAGGTTTGCTGGAGTATGCTGCGGATTCTTCTCATTTCAGAGAGACTAATTCCAAAATAGGCCCAGGACCATCTGCCCTCCCGTTACTGCCGAGCTATCGAGCAGCAAGCATAAGGGTTAACAGCTTCAGAGGCAGAGAGTGACAGCACACATCCAACCTACTCACAGCCATCAGTTCCCCTCTGATTTCCCACAATTAAAGAAACAGCAGTGAGCCAGACTAGATGGAAGGGCAGGGAATGTGCTATGCATTGGGAAGGCTGGAGATGGCCATTTTAATCCCAGGTGTCCCTCATTCAGACACAGTCGTCAGTCCAGAGCACACCGATTTCACTGCGTTTGACCATATTCCAAACCCTGGACTCTCCCCTGCTAGTGCAGAAATTCTCCCACTGCCTGGCCCCATCTGGAGGAGCCCAACCTATTCCTGCCACCACTGGGTGCTGCTTGCCTCCAAGCTCTAAAGTCCTCACTGGCCCCTGGGCATCCCCAGAATTAAGGATTGACCAAATCCTTACTGTTTGCCTCTTCTGAAGTGCACCATCCACTGGTCACCTGTTTTAGAGCCTGGAGGCGCCCCCAAAGCCTTTGCCACCCCACGGGTCGTTCGAGGCCCATTTATATCTCACCTGCTTCCTGAACGCTTTGTAGATCCCATTCCCACACTGATTGGAGGACTGTATTTGCTAATGAAGCTGTTGTGGTTAACTGTGTCCATGTGACTCTTACTGTTTGTCTCTTTTCTCTTACTTCGCTGGCATGCTATGGGAAAGTGTGGGTCATTTTACACCTAGTGTCTCAGGCATTTCCCTGGAACAGGTGACCTCTGGCAGGAGTGCCCTGAGGGTAGGAAGAGAAACGAGTATTTGTTAATATGTTAGAAACAGAAATCCAGGCAAAGAGCATTTGTTTTATTAAAGCGTGTTCCCCTTGATATTTCCAAGTCGCAGCCAGTGTCCACAGTTGCCCCCACATTCTGGAGCTCATGGTGGGCCTTCTTCACCTTCAGAACAACGTCCTACGATAAAGTGTGTGGATCTCTAGATACTACCATCCAAAGGGCCCCGTAGTGAACTATAAGGAAGTGTGTGTGTGACATACTAGGCTCACAATGACTGTGAGAAGAGACTTATGTATAGGCGTGTGTCGAGTGTACTTCGTAATAGGAACTTGTGGAGTAAGCATGCTAAAAGTCTAGCCTTTGCTCACACAGTGCTGGTGGGAAGCATGAATGGCACCTGTCCTTTTGACTGCTGTGTTTAAGCTTTAGAGTCACGGGACTGAAGGTTCACAGTAAGAACTGTATTACAGACTTCCAAGGCAACAGTTTCCACAACACACACACACACACACACACACACACACACACACACACACACACACACACACACTCAAAGGCATCCTACATAGCAGTAGAGGAAGCAGAGCAGAGAGAGGCCCTCTCAGAGCTATCCTTTGTAAAGTGTGTGTTTAACAGTCATGGCTTGACAGGTTAAACTAGGCGTTTTACCATGATAAGTAATGGGCTTGCAATTAGCTCTGTCAGCCCCCAGCCATACAAGATCTGGAATAACACCGTTCTCTGTGCTTTCCAGTTCTTCCCACAGAGGTCCCACTCAGCCGGCGCTGCCTGCGTGACCCCACACGGCACCATTCTCCACCAGACCCTGGACTTTGATGAGTTCATTGCCCCCCTCCCGCCTCCACCCTATTACCCTCCGGAATACACCTGCACACCCACAGCGGAGGCCCACAGGTCAGTCTTCCTCTTGGTGTCCCGTGTCCCCTGCTGCGTGAGAAGCCACAGACAGGAAGCATCTTTGGGAGGGGGAGGAGGAAGTGGTGATAGCTGGGGAGAAAGAGGTGTGGAATGGAACAGAGTAAGAGCGGGCGCAGAGGCAGGTGCCTCACAAGGACAGGAAATGAAGAAAGGAGATGTGACCTGGAGATACAGTAGTTCTTTTCTTACCTTTGTTCTTTGGGGTAGTGTTGGGTTTATTGTGCTCTACTTTTATTTTGTTCTTGACAGGGACTCATTGTACAGTCCAGGGTGGCTTTGAACTCTCTGTGTAGCCCCAAATGGCCTCATACTCATAATGTTCCTGTCTCAGTGTTCCACATGCTAGAATTACAATCAAGCATAAGGCCTGTCTTGAATAGAAGATTTCTGTTGGTGTCTTTACAATGTCACCTAAATGACACCATAGGCCAATAATGAACTCTGTTGTATTCTTTTTTTTATTTAATGTCTTTTTTATTTTTAAATTTAAATTAGAAACAAGGTTGCTTCACAACTCAATCCCAGGTCCCTCTCCCTCTCCCTCCCCTCCTCCCACGACCTCCTACCAAGCCCCCATCCTCCCTCCCTCTATCCCCACTCCCTTCCCTAGGGAGGGTGAGGCCCTCCATGGGGGTATCCATAGTCGGTTATTTCATCCAGGGCAGAGCCTAGACCCTCCCCCAAAAGTCCAGGCTGAGAGAGCATCTCTCATTGTGGGATGGGTGCCAAAGTCCATTTGTATGCCAGGGATAAATATTGATCTACTACCCAAGGCCCCTTAGATTACCTAGGCCTCCTCCCAGACACCACCATTCAGGGGGTCTGAATCAGTCCCATGCTGGATTCCCAGCCATCAGTCTGGGGTTCGAGAGCTAACCCTTGTTCAGGTCAGCTGTTTCTGTGGGAAAACAAGCCCAGTCTTGCCCCCTATGTTAATCAGTCCTCCATCTCTGTTCCTTGGGTTCCTTCAGTTCAGCTCAGTGTTTAGCTTTGGGTGTCTGCCTCTGCTTCCATCAGTCATTGGGTGAAGGTTCTGTTTCCCAGACTCTCTGGCAATGGGACTGTAGGCTAGCACTCCCCTGATCCATGTCTAAAATCCATATATGAATGAGTACATACCATGTTTCTCTTTTTGTGACTGGGTTACCTCACTCAGGATGGTTTCTTCTAGTACCATCCATTTGCCTGCAGATTTCAAGATTCCATTGGGTTTTTTTCTGCTGAATAGTACTCCATTGTGTAAATATACCACATTTTCTCTATTCACTCTTCAGTTGAGGGGCATCTAGGTTGCTTCCAAGTTCTGGCTATTACAAATAATGGTGCTATGAACATAGTGGAGCAGCCGTCCTTGTTATATGAATGTGCATCTTTTGGGTATATGCCTAAGAGTGGAATTGCTGGGTCTTGGGGTAGACTGATTCCCATTTTCCTGAGGAATCTCCAAACTGGTTTCCAAAGTGACTGTATGAGTTGGCACTCCCATCAGCAGTGGACCGAGTGTTCTCCTTTCTCTACATCCCCTCCAGCATAAACTGTCATTGGTGTTTTTGATTTTAGCCATTCTGACAGGAGTAAGATGGTATCTCAGAGTTGTTTTGATTTGCATTTCCCTGATGGCTAAGAATGCTGAGCACTTTCTTAAGTGTCTCTCAGCCATTTTAGACTCCTCTATTGAAAATCCTATATTTAGTTCTGTAGCCCACTTTTAATTGGATCCTTTGGTGTTTTGGAGACTTGCTTTTTGAGTTCTTTGTAAATTTTAGAGATCAGCCCTCTGTCAGATGTGAGATTAGTGAATATTTTTCCCATTCTCTGGGCTGCTTTTTTGCTTGTTGACTGTGTCCTTTGCCTTACAAAAGCTTCTCAGGTTCAGGAGGTCCCAGGTATTAATTTTGACTTCAGTGTCTGTGTTACTGGTGTTATGTTCAGGAAGCGGTTTCCTGTACCAATTCGTTCAATGGTACCACCCACTTTCTCTTCTAAGAGGTTCAGTGTGGCTGGATTTATGTTGAGGTCTTTGATCCATTTGGACTTAAGTTTTGTGCATGACGATAGACATGGATCTATCTGCATCCTTCTATATGCTAGCCTCCAGTTATGCCAGCACCATTTGTTGAAGATGCTTTCTTTTTTCCATTGTATATTTTTAGCTTCTTTGTCGAAGACCAGATGTTCATACGCGTATGGGTTAATATCCGGGTGTTCAATTCGATTCCATTGGTCTACCTGTCTATTTTTGTGCCAATACCAAGCTCTTTTCAGGACTACAGCTCTATAATAGAGCTTGAAATCAGGGATGGTGATGCCTCCAGGCGTTGCTTTGTTGAATAGGGTTGTTTTGACTATCCTAGATCTTTTGTTTTTCCATATAAAGTTGATTACTATTCTTTCAAAGTCTGTGAAGAATTGTGCTGGGATTTTAATGGGGATTGCAATTCTGTTGTATTCTTACATATGCAAAGTTGCTCCTGAGTGACAGTCATCACAGAGCATGGAACATTAATTAGAAATTTCATCAGCTTTATCATTGTTTTAATTATAATAGACAGAACTTAAGTGTTCAATGAAATATGGGCATCTTTCAGAAGAAAGACGAAAGTTAAACCTGCCCAGTGACTCAGGCTTTAATTTTTCCACATGACAAGTGTTAGACAGTCAACACTTGGAGAGAAATGCCAGACACTGGTCTCTGTCCTCAGGGGATGACCATGTGATGGCTGTTCTGTTTTCCAGGGGCCTCCACCTGGACTTCGCTTCCTCTCCGTTCAGCACCCTATACGATGTTGCCATCAACAGCCCTGGCATGCTGTACCCTGCCGAGCTGCCGCCACCATATGAGGCTGTGGTTGGTCAGACTCCTGCCAGCCAGGTGAGTGTGGCTCTGGCCCTGACAAGACCAGCTACTGTGCACATGACACTTCCTGACCTGTCCTCAGAAAGCTCCCTGACAATGTTGACTGTGTCACTGACACTAGCGACAGCCTTGTGAGGAAGCCTCTGTGTGTCCTGTACAGTGGAATGCTGATGTCAGCCTGGGCACATCAATACGTGAACTTGCCCTTTGGTTACTCAACTTAATTCCTGTAGCAAGACACATAGCCCTGTGTTCCGTGCTCCCCAGGTGTCTGGAGAGAACACAAAAGGAACTGGGATAACTTCTAACCCATGACCAGAGAAGGGGGAGCTGGGTTTGTGGACTAAGGACTCAGGGGACAAGAGCTGTCTTCGCCATTGCTGCAGACATGATTCGATGGAGCTGTAAGAGGCTAGGCAGCCCCAGGTCAGGGATTTGTCTCTACTGCCAGGTGTTTGGGTCCTTCTCTGAGCTGTGTGTGCCAGGGACTCCTGTTGTTACTGGGACTCACTTTGAGAATGGGAATAGACCGCTGTGGCAAGGTTTGTGGTGAAGAGGGTAACAAGAAGGATCCTGGAGGCAAATGTGGTACCTCACCTAGAAGCGGGAGGCATCAACAAACCCACATGGCAGGACCCAGAGAGAGTACATTAGGACCAAGGCCCTCCGTGGATGGCACACACCAGGAAGTCAAGAGGTGATGATGAGATGCAAATGGGCAGCTCCATCCTGGGAAGCAGGGACCTAGAGGCCATGTCTGCAGTAGTATGTAATTTCATTTCTGCCCGGGGCGGGAGGCTCTGCCATTTCCCACTCCTCAGCAAGCTTGCTGTGGAAGCAGAGGCACTTCCACAGTCTGACCTGCTTGCTTGCTATCATAGAATTCCACTTTCCTGCTAGGGACCCACTTCTTGGCTTCTCTTTGTGAGGTGGTAATCATGTTTTCATAAGAGAGGGCTGGGTGAATGGATTGTGTCCCTTGTACAGTGTCAAGGCCTGGGCACTACCCTGTCAGAGGCTTTGCTTCCCAAGAATATCCTCTTTCCAGGAGCGTCATGCTGGCCTTGCAAATCCCCTCAGTTCAGGTGTGGGTAGTCACTGAAGACTTTGAGCGGGGCTGTCTGCTGTAGTGCTCCAGGTACAGGTTTTCTGACCTTGCAGGTCAGACTGTGGAAGTGCCTCTGATAAATTCAGTGTCTAGGTTGACCTGACCAGAAGTACTTGACTGGATAGCAGTACAGCTAGGAAAGGAAGTCTAATATACTAGAAGTTATGAGAAAGGAGATGGGCAGGCACGGTATCACCAGTTGCGAGTCCTATAAATTATATGTTTAAAGGAAATGACCCCTACATTTTAAAACTGGTTAGTGAAGTGTTTCAAAGAGGACCTTGAGTATATAAAATCCTCATTCTCCATGTCAGTTGATATTGTCCCCAAACAGTGGCTCTTCATGCATCTGATACTAGATGGTTAACCTCATCTGGGAGTAAGAAGCACATCACAGAAATGGGGCAGAATTCCTGTGCAGCGTTTCCCACAGAGCCAGTCTGCCTAGATCCCAGTTGGTCCTTCAGTTACAGGGACTGATCCACGTAGGTTTCAGAACTAGCAAGTCCCAGGTTCGGGCCCTTCCCTAGTTTGCTTCTCTGTTGCTTTGATAAAACATCCTGACTAGGCCAGCTTATAGAAGAATGGCTTTATTTGGCATACAGTTCCAGACAGATGACACTCCATCATGGTAGGGAAACGTCAGGCGTGGCAGCTGAAGTAGCTTGCTGAGAGCTCACATCTTGAGCTGCAAGCACAAATCAGAGACAGACAGACACAAAGACAGAGACCAACAAAAAGAACTAGAAGTAGCATGATGTTTACTTTCCAAAGTCCACCCCCAGTGACATACTTCCTCCAGCAAAGCCACACCTCTTAAACATACCCAGACAGTGCCACCAACCAGGACCAAGTGTTCATATGCCCAAGACTATGGCAGGCATTCCTCATTAAACCACCACCGTCTCACATGGCTTGGGGTGTCCTGGGACACGTCCTGTATGAAGCTTGTCTATCACAGTCCTCACACTCTTCGTCCTGCCAAGGTCCCTGTTGATGAGCCTTAGTGGCTGAGCTCCGATCACAATTCAGATCCCACGCCACGGCTGCCCGTCCCCTTTCCTGCCGCGGTAGTGCTACTGAACCGAATGGCCATTTCCCCCACAGGTGACCTCTGCCATCCGATTCAAATTAAAGCCCTAACACTCTACTCAGAAGTGGCAGATGCGCTCCCAGGAGCCATCTCTTTTCCAAACCACATTTCCTGGTGCTTGAATACGGGAGCCAGAGGGAAGTGAATGATACCCTGCAGAATATGAAGCAAATCCAATTTCCTCTTGACCTTGTCCCTTTGTGGATTCTATTTCTCTTGTTTTATTTATATTTCTTTATTGCCAATGCTGTCTTTCTCAGACAGCAGGTTCCTAAGATTCCTCTCTACCTCTCCCAGATATATATATATATATATATATATATATATATATATATATATATGGGGAGGGGTTAGGTATTGGGGAGGGAGTTCTGGAATGAAATAGCCCTAGCCCTTTAGGCAGTTTCTTTCTGTTATTTAGTGGGAGATTCTTGCCAGACACTTTCAAATTGGTTATGGGCGTACAGTGAATACAGTAGGGGGTAAGATGTGTGTAGATGCGATGGTGGCACGAATGCTCTTTCCCTCAGCTCCCACCCCAGCAGTCCTGGAGGTCTTAGGGAGGAGAATAGCATATGCACTGTTGCTCCAAAGCCTATCAGTGGATGAAAGGCAGCATGGAGGCTGCTCTCCTCCCTGGCGTTAGCTTGATTCCAGCTCTCTTCTGCACCCCACTTCCCTACCACTACAACAGGGAGCAGCTCACACCCTTTGTGTTGATGCCACAGCTGGAGCCACCTGTCCTAACCCCATCAGTTTGCAGAGTAGAGATGAGGAATAGCAACCACCTGATTGAAGTGTCAGGCAACACAGGAGGCAGGAATGTAATTACCTGAGCTGGAATTAGACCAAGCCGCAGGGGCATGCCTCACCTTCCCCAGTCTCCTCTTGAGCTCATTACTTGCCAGTATGTCCCCAAAGCAATTCTGAAATCATACAAGAAGTCAGATATTGTTTCCTGAGCTGGGGGAAGGGTGGGTGGCCCATGGACAGGGTATGCCATGACTCAAGCCCAGGAGGGCCTGTGCTAGATGCCTGAAGCACAGTTGGAAGAATTGTACCTGTAGGGGAAGAAACTGCATCACACACAGCTCAGGAATGGTAAGACGAGGCAGGAGGCCAGGGGGCTCAACCTTCTGAATCCTGTTTCCTGAGGCCTCTCCAGATCGGAGTCACTTCTTGTACGGGTCAGTTTTGTATGTTGACTTGACACAGCTAGAGTCATCAGAGAGGAAGGAGCCTCAGTTGAAGCAATGCCTCCATGAGATCCAGCTGTAAGGCGTTTTCTTAATTAGTGATCAATAGATGAGGGCCCAGCCTGTTGTGGGTGGAGCCATCCCTGGGCTGGTGGTCCTAGGTTCTATAAGAAAGCAGGCTGAGCAAGCCATGGGAAACAAGCCAGTAAGCAGCTCCCTCCGTGGCCTCTGCATCAGCTCCTGCCTCCAGGTTCCTGCCCTGTCTGAGTTGTGTTGCTCTGACTTCCTTCAGTGATGTGGAAACATAAACCAAATAAACCCCTTCCCTTCCCAATTGGCTTTTTGGCCATGGTGTTTTGTCATAGCAATAGAAACCCTGAACAGGAAGAGAACTTTCCAAGGGTGGCTCTTAATGGTATGTCATTGCTGTCACACTGTGGATTGGCAGTTAGACTAGCACCCCACCCTGTGTGCACCTGGACCTTGACAAGAGTAGCCTACAGGGTTCCTCTTGATTCTGTCTGCAAGGGAACAAAGGGAAGACAAGGTGTAAGCAAGTCAAGCACACTCTGGGAGTTCCCTTGGGGGCAGCCTTTTGTCCTGTGCTCCTTCCATGCCCTAGCCATGCTGGGGTGCAGTATGCCGTGTCTCGGGACCATTTGTTCCATGGTTTATTCTTCCCAGAATAAGGAGAAAGAGTCAGAGAAGGCAGTTGGGGGTGGGGACTGTCATATGTCCCACTGTGACAATCAAAGATCCTTTGTGGCCTTTTGTCTTAGTAGGGTTTCTGTTACTGTGATAAACACCATGACCAAAAGCAAGTTGGGGAAGAAAGGGTTTATTTGGCTTAGACGTCCATATTCCTGTTCATCATTAAAGGAAGTCAAGACAGGAACTCAAACAGGGCAGAGGCTAATGCAGAGGCCATGGAGGAGTGCTGCTTCCTGCCATACTCCTTCTGACCACCAGCCCAGGGTTGGCCCCACCCACAGTGGGCTGGGCCCTCCCCCATCAATCAATCACTAATTAAGAAAATGTTCTACATGCTTGCCTACAGCCTTTGGAGGTATTTTCTCAGTGGAGGTACTCCGATGACTCTAGCCTGTGTCAAGTTGACAGAAAATTATGCAGCACACCTGTCTTGGTTCTATATATTGCCGTAGTGGAAGATGAGTACACTCAGGGTATACCAGCTCCCTGGAAGATCCCCTAGTGCAGAAAGCCAGTGAAATAGGCTTCAATCTTTGCAATGATTCTTGAACTCTTGATTCTCACATATACCCCACCTCTTAAATTTAGGTGAGGAGAAAATAATGTATGTATACATCTCTATTCTTTCTCACCAGATGAGCCTTAAAGCCACCCTGCACAGTTAGTTGTTCCCCCGGGTGTGTGTTCCAGGATGCCCCCCACGCCAAAATCCATACATGCTCAAGTCTCTTACATGAAATAGAGTGCTGTTTGCACAGAACTTACACATGTCCCCCGCTGTACTTTAAGCGTGCCAGGATGCACCCACATGAACTCAGCATAGTCAACAGTGCATGGAGATTCCTATTTCACCCTTGGGAACTTTCTGGGACGTTTCGCCCTGATAACTTGGAGTCGATGTTGATTGAAGAAGGAATTTGAGGGCTCAGAGCACTGCTGGTGTTCCTGGAGGCTGCCTGGGTGGGTGTTCTCCTAAGCAAGGGTGATGCTGTGTGTTTCCTTTTATAGGTTCCAAGTGTTGATCACCAGGTGGCTGACTCCAGTTCCGGGGACCCAAACACTGCTGCTGGCTTCAGCACACCAGGTAATCCATCGTACCTCTCTCAGTTTGAGCACTGCTGGTGTGTGTTCCAAGGATGTCTCTTTTCTCCTGTTTCCTTCTCTCCCTGTCTTCCTGCTCCCTCCTCTCTATCTGTAGCATGCTGCCTTAGCCACAGCATCCCTCCCTAACCTAGACCCAGTAAGGTGTGTCCCTGGGAGAGCTCACATTTCTCCTGGAATATTTTGTCGACTCTTTCCTTGGTTTCCTTTCTCCTTCACGTGAGAATGTGAATTGGAAGAAAACAACTACTCAACTTGAGGCTCACTCTTTAGAAAAAAAGAGGAACATTTAGTCCATGAAACACTATTCTTTCTCTTGGCCTAGTTACACTCCCTGTTAGCAGCTCTCCTAGGCAGGTATCCCATGACTCTGGCATCTCTAACATATTGGGTTCTCCAAGGCAATCTAGGCTTCAACTTTACAGCTTCATGCAATGGCCTTTCTAGGTCTCCACTCAGGGATGTTCCTGACACATGCCTGGGCTCAGTGGCTCTCCTTAGGCAGGAAGCTGAGTTCTGCTGCTTGCTGGGGTTGGAACAGGGCCCCCTTATTCAATTATATCTTCACACCCTTCTGTTTTTGACCTTTACTGCCTAAGCTTGGCTGTCCTGAAACAGAATCTGGCCTGAAATTCAGAGATCTGAAAGTCTCTGCCTTCGAAGTGCTGGGAGTAAAGGCGTGCACCTGATTCTAAAATTTTCCTTAATTCCTTTTCACAAGTTGGAAACTTAGCTGGGTGGGATCTTGCCCTGAGGTCAATACTCCCTTTACTCCATTTCTTAATGTGTTTATCTCCATGAACACAGAGCTTAGCTCTATTCCACTTCCTGGTGCTCTTTTCTCCAGAAACAGTTTTCCTTTCTCAGCTTGCTCCTTTTCATCATAAATCTTCCTTACTGTTACCACTAGTAACCACAAAACAGAGTCTGTTCTGGGCTGTTTTGAGATTTTCTCTGCCCGTGGAATTCATCCAAACTCTTCCCTTTAGCCTCAGGAAGACTCTTTGGACAAGGGCAGAAAGCAGCCACTTTCTTCACCAAAACAGCACAATACCAGTCTTAGGCCTCATACTACCTTCTCCTCTGTAACCTCTTGATCACCACAGTTCATCAAGACCCATTCAGCGCCACTGTCTCCCATGCTCCCACTAGGATGGCCCATTAAATAGTGTTTTAATGTTAAATGTTTTAAACATTCTACTGCTTTCCTAACCCAAACTCCCAAAGTCCATATTACTCCAAACAAAAATATGGGCAGGCCTATCACAGCAACACCCCAGTCCCTGACACCAGCTTCTTAGGGTTTCTATTGCTATGAAGAGACACCATGACCACAGCAGCTCTTAGAAAGGAAAACATTTAGTTGAGGCAGGCAACAGGAAGTAGACTGAGACACTGGGCAGTATCCTCAGCATAGGAGACCTCAAAGCCCACCCCCACAGTGACACACTTTCTCCATCAGGGCCATACCCACCCAAACAAGCCACCTCCTAATAATGGCACTCCCTATAAGATTATGGGGAGCAATTAAATTCAAACTACTCCAGTTAGCATAGAAACCAAAGTTTTCAAAAGCACACTTGGTTGAATGGACGGATGCAGAACTTATGCACACAGAGGGTCAACTGCATGCCTCAGGATTTCATTCTCTTAACTCAGGAACAGTATTGCATTTGGGATTTCCTGGTCCCTGTGTTATGAGTGTGATATAAATGTGGTTCACTCTCACGTTGATCTTTCCCCTTGTTACCATGCTAAACTTGCTCTTTAGTTTTACAATTCTTCATAGATTCTAGTTGGTTTTAGACTATTTTGAATAATAATGTAGTGTTGAGGCAAGACCACAGGGGAGCTACAACCCAGATTTTTGGCTGGCATCTTATAAAACAGTCTGTCATTCTAGGGCTCTTTATCTAGAAGCCATGCTTATATTGTTAATTGGGGTAATTTCCACTTCTGGGAGTGCCCTGGGGTCTAACATAAGGAGAGTAATTCTAAAGGCGAAGGTGTTTTCATTCTTCATAATAGTGAAAACCTGGGAGAACAGTGAAGTTCATTAATGAGAGTTGTGAAAAACATGTGGCACATGCTAGATACATTATTCTATATTAATTATGAAAACTGTGGGTGGGTTTTTTTGGATGAAAAATTGGAAGTCCATTAGAACCATAACTGTCATAAAAACAGGCACGCAGCATTACACGGGTGACAGCAAGAAAAAACAGTCACCAGTCTTGGGCTTGGAGCTTCTTCGGTATCTACTGTAATTTCTTGTTCTAGTAATTATATATATTCAGAGTGAAGTCACACTTGCCTATCCATGACTTAATTGTGTTAGCACTGACAGTAAGAAAATTGGATCAAGAAGAGGCACAAAACGAAGTTAATTAAAATACGTTTTTGATGTTGGGCTAGAGAGATGGCTCAACAGTTAAGGGCACATCCTGCTCTTGCAGAAGATCCGTGTTCGGTTCCCAGCATTCACATCAGGCAGATCATAGCCACCACTCCAGATCTAGGGGGATCTGATGCCTCTGGTCTCTGCAGGTACTTGTCGTCAAATGCACAGCCCCACCCCCACACCCCAGGCTTAACTTGTCTCCAAAGAGGTGAAATAAATATATACTTAAATATTTTCAAGAAGGTTAACTACACACACACACACACACACACACACACACACACACACACAGTGGCATGCACACACACACAGATGAGATAGATGAGTAGTAGTTGATGCTAGTGTGTGCATATGTAGATATGTATGTATGTGGGTACTTATTTGTGAGCAATACTTGTATTTGATGCATGGTCTTGCACATTCCATGCAAGCATTCTACAATGATCTACCATCCTCGGTGCTCTCTTTACTTCTTATTTCAAGACAGGTTTTCACTAAGTTGCCTAAGATGAGCTGGAAAAATGCTCTATATGTAGTTCAGATAGGTCTTGAACATGGTCTTCCTGCCTCAAAGTATCTTGTGTAGCAGGGATGATAAGCCTACACCACACAGCTTGGCTTCCCTGAGATGATCTTAGCACACCACACAGCTCAGCTTATTCTAGATGATCTTGGCACACCACTGTGTAGTTCCCTAGGGAGTAACTAACAGAGGTTGGCTGTGGTTACTGAATGCCATTTCTGTCTTTGAAATTTTCTGATATGATCAAGTATTTCTTCTTTTTTATATAATCTCTTCATTTCTGAGCAGTTGTCAAATTGTGTCAGGTAATAAACTCCTGGGAGCATTGCTGAGTCTAAGGGAGCTTGTATTTTAAGTGTTAATAGAGCAGCCAAACTACGTTACAGAAAAGTGACATCAGCAGGGTGCCATCACTCCGGATGGCTTCTCCCACCCTCCATGGAATAACCGTTCCCAGCCTTGAGTTTGAGCAATGTTGTTTTACAGGTCTGTTGTCCATGTGTGTATCTGGATTTGAATCACTTCTTTCATTTGAAGTGTTTTCTTTTTTAGAAGATATTTTGGGAGTAGATTCATAGAAAAAAGTGCTTATTAAATCAAGTCATGAGGAAATGTGTGAGGCTTAGCAAGACCTTCCTGCTCATGGTGGGGACTTGTCTCTCTTTCACTTCCGCTCTGGTAGCACCGTGTTCATTACACAAGCACACAACTTTTAAAAATGTATTTATTTTTCTCCCATACAATACATCCCAACGGCAACTTTCCCATCCTTCCCAGCCCTCCTCCCTTTCTTCCAGTTCTACCTCCCTCCCCTGTCTCCTTCCAAAAAAGAGCAGGCCTCCCAGGGACATCAACCTAAGAAGGCACAAAAGATACAGTAAGACTAAGCACAAACCCTCACATCAAGGATAGGCAGGGCAACCCAGTAGGAGGAAAAGGGTCCCAAGAGCAGACAAGAGTCAGACACACCCCCTGCTCCCACTACCAGGAGTCCCCTCAAAACACCAAGCCAACAACCATAACATATAAGTAGAGGACCTCGCACAGATCCATTCCGGCTCCACAGTTACCATTTTAGTCTCTGTGAGCCCCATGAGCCCAGCCAAGGCACAGCCAAAGCACACAACTTTTTATTGTCAGTTTCCTTTCTTCCCTTTACTATCCTGCCCATGAAGTCCCTGCTCCAAGCTGCAGGTTTGCCGTTATGGATTTTTTTCTTCTGCTAATTTTATGCCCTCAAAATAGAAGGATTAATCTTCCTGAAGATTGGGGTGTTTGCTTGCATGTGATGTATGTGGTACTATTTATATTTCCCAAATGGACCACTAATTGTCACCAACTGTTTATGAAGGGGGTAGCAGTGGTTAGGCAAGAGTCTTTAGAGTCTTCCATGGGCTTCTCTGAGAATAGGCAGTGAGTACCAAGTGGTGTGTGGCTCTGAAGCCCTGGCCTGGGGCAAGCTCATGGACACAGGGGAGCATGGAGCACTGACCACGCCCTGTGGAAAGAGAAGGAAGGGGCAAAGTCTCCCAGCACTGATGGAATTCTGGCTGCTGCCGTGCAGCCAGTGGACCTCAGGCAGGTTATCACCCTGCAGTGTCTGCTCCTGAGTGGAGCCAGTAGGCTGCGGTAATTCCAGGAGAGTGAAGGATGTGTCTACCCATTGGGGTTTAATGTTCATGGGTTGCACAGCCTCTGGTGCTGGTGTCCTTAGGAGTCCATGTTCTTCCTTGTGTGAGTCTGAGTTCTCTCTTGTGTGAGCCCCAATCAACAAGCAGCTTGTGATGGAAGCAGCAGAGTGCTGACTTTGGTCTTTCTGGGAGGGGGCGGGGCCTGAGCTTCCCCATCCTCCTCCTGAAGTAATCCCTGGGAGGTTGTCTGCTTCCCCCACCCTGGGGGTTTTATCGAAGTAGTTCGTGGTGACCTGCCTCAGGGCTGATCTGCTTCTAACTGTGGAGTTTACATAGCTTGGGTTTGGAGGGCAGGAGGCTGGCTGATTGTGCATCCGGGTGCCTTTGTAGCCCCCTTCTCTGATACTATGCCCCTTTCCTTGCAGTGCCTGCCAGTAGCACAAGTCTCCCAACATCAGAGGGTGCCGCCTCACTGGGTCCAAGCCACCCATCCCCTGATGGCACTTTAGACACCCCACCACCTCTCCTGTCTACTCCAGTCCCTCACCGTGTGTCTCCAGAAGCAACAAGCTTGAGCACACAGACACAACCAAGCCCAGGGCGTGTGGCCCGCTCAGCCAGCGACCCCACCTCCTGCACATCCAGTGAAGCAGGTATGGCTCTCTTGTGTTCTCGGGGTGTACCCAACTTGTAGGGCAAATGACCTCTGACAGCTGAGGCCCAACCTTGGCTCCTAGGAAGTGTCATCGGCACATTTGAGGGCCCCGAGTTGGGGTGAAGGGGTGGGTAGCCTTAGGCCCTTGCTGCATTCCCAGGGAGGCATCATTCGGGCAAGGGAGGAAGGATTCAAGAGTTTAGGGTAATGAGATCCCTTCAGGTGGCCTGCAGCTCTGACATGAGCATGATCACTGAACTACATGCATGCTCTGAGGTCCAGGTCAGAGTAGGTGGCCACGGGTAAAGACTGTGTGTAGGTGGTGTGTCCTCTGCACCAAGTGTGTTCAAAGAGTACTTAGGGTATCTGTTGCTGTGAAGAGACACCATGACCGCAGCAACTCTTATAAAGAAAAAAATTCATTGGAGCTGACTTACAGCTTAGTCCATTATCATCATGGTGAAAAATATGGCAGTAGGTAGGCAGCTGTCTGGGGTGCATATGCCATAACAGCTTCCTTGGGAGTCTTGCTTGTGTGCCCAAGGCTGGAGAATGAACATCAGAACCTTGATGTTACAGGGGAATAACGTCTGCCAGTTAAGGACTGGCTTATGGACCCTGACTCTGCATCACACAGATGGGACTTTTTCTGATGTGGATTTGAAAGAGCTCTACAGAAGGCACAGGGGATGCCCACAGCAGCCTCACTTCAGTGCCTTGTGCAGCTGAACACCAGGCAGCCTAGAGTCTGGCCATGCCAAAGAAGAGCAGCCTTTGGAGGGAAGCCAGATCTGGGCACGTCTTCCTGGTAGAAATCTCAGATTTGTACCTGTAGACTTTGGGTGCTACATTCCCCCCCCCCCTTCCATGGAGAAAGGTCATCCAAACCTGGAATGCTCGCTTTGCTTCTTTACTTGGAAACAGGACATCCCTTTCTTCCACCCCTGGGGGCAGCATGTGGGTTTCCATGTCCACTCTTCCCTCACAGAGCTTTGAAAGAGGCTCACATATGGTTGGAGGAGATCAGGTCCCTTCTCTAGCCTTCTGATAGCTTTCTTTGGCCCATCCCTCTTGATGGGATTCACGGTCGGTCTATGACAAACAGCTGAAAGGATGGGGCGAGGGAGAGGTGGCCACCTTCCCTTCCTGAGGTCCGCACAGCTGCTTCAGCCTCCTCTTGGTCAGGTGAGATCGCCATTGTTCCACACGTTGGAGGTATTCTGTATCCCTGGAGAGCCTCGGGATTGGAGGGTATCCCCAGGCACCTGCTGGGCTCCTGTGGGACCTGGGCCAGGAGAAGTACAAGGTGGCTTCCTTTTATCTACAGTCTGCTTGTCTGCCATCTAACAAACTGCTCAGCCCTAGGCAGCTGGTGAATTTTACCAGTAATCCCTTCTGCCCCTTCCTGCCTATGGGGTCTGAATGTCCTTCAGGTTGAGATGCAGCCTGAAACCCAAGACTTCTTTCCTGGGCTGCTCTGGAAAGAAGTGTGGTGCTCCTCAAACATTTGACATCCACCTACTGTGAGTCAGGGGCATTGGGGTCATGACTAGCGGCCCTTTGCTGTCTCTGCATTCAACTGCTCCAGCTGTTGCCCTAGAATATGAGTTCCTGGCTCAAGGTAATTGTATCAAAGCCAATGACTAACAGCATACATATGCTTATTGATTCACATTTACTTTTGTTTTGAGACAGCATCTTATTAAATAGCCCAGACTGACCCCAAGCTCCTGTCTCAGCCCCAGAGTGCTAAGACTGGGGTCATTGCCACCTGGCTTGGCCTTATTTTGCTTTACGATTTTTTTAGGGGGTCATTGGCCCTGCCTAAGAAGTTTACACATCATCTTGTATTTCGTTACTAAGCTTGCATGCTACTACCCCCAGGGACCCAGAAAAGACCACCCAGAATGTGTCTGTTTTGGATGATATGTTAGGCAGGCTGGTTCTTAATATGGGTCCTTGGTCAGTGGACTATATTCACCACCCAAAGGTACCTAGTTCTTGGAGGTGCCATCTAAGCAGTGTTTGTCCCAATTTTGAGGTAGAGTGATGGCTTGACATCTGATGGGAGTCAGTCATTCCTCCAGGCCCAGCCTAGAGGACACTGGGGAAGACCCCAGATAGAGGCTGCTCTCTACACCTGACGGGGTAGAGGAATCTCCCTGCCTTTTTTGCCCCCTCAGCTCTAGTCTTAAATCAGGCTGTCTGAATGTTCCCTAGGCTGCCCCAGCAAGCAACCAGACCACAAAGGATAGAGGTCATGGAGCTGCAGAAGTCTGAGGAGAGCTCAGTAACCCTCACCAGCCCTTCTCTTGGTCCCACCCCTCAATCCTTAGAGGTTAACACCAACTTGACCTCAGGCTGACAGGAAGCTGGGTCACGCCCGGGTGCCTTCTCTGAAACAAAACTTGCAGCATACTTTTGTTCTTTTTTTCCCCCCTAGAACTTTGGTTTCATTTGGTCCACAGTTGTTTTCAAATCTCCTCTTTCACTTTTGATTTTTAGTCTCCGCATCACGCCCAGCCGTAGCGGCCTGTCAGCACCAGCTCTCACCCCCTGGCAACCCAGGTACCTGGAAAATGGACCAAGGAACCAAGCCAGAGACCTTACAGACCGTCTCCAAAGAGAGGCCACACTCCCTGGTGGAGAGCAAGGCCTACACAGACACCAGGGTTTTGGTGGCTAAGTTCTTGGAACACTCACACTGCACTGTCCCTTCGGAGGTGCGACACGTGGTGGGCACTGTCCGCTCAACGGTCACCTCGGAGGAGCCAAGGGTGGAGGAGGCCATCTTCGGTGCTGGCGTCCTGGACCAGCTATGAAGCAGCTACAGACCTGGATGTGGACATTGATGGGCCCAGTGCCTGCAAGGACCAGTCCTGCATGAAGCCACCATGCTTGATAGAGAGAGGCCTTGGCCTGCTGGGCAGAGAACATCCAGAATACCCAGGAGAAGCTCTCTGGTGGCCCAGGCAGGGAACTGTTACTCTTTCTCCCATCATTGTCTTCCCGGGACTGTTTGTCCCCTGTCCTACTAACTCAGACATGTTTCTCTCCTGCCCTCAGCAAGCTCTGGTTGCTTCAGGAGTATAGCACCTTGAACTGAAGAATGTGACAGAAACACCTATCCAGGGACAGGTGACGCTTGTGGAACATAAGGACACTGCACCTGTTCCAAGTCAAGGCCTTTAACACAAGGTTCTCTTCTGGGCCCAGTTGAGTTTGGGTAGTGGGTGGCAGCAGCAATGTGGCTGGTGTCACTCTGCAATGAAACCTTCATAAAATCCAGACCCACTGCTTCCTTTCACAGGAAACGGGCAATGCTAGCACAGCCTGGGCCCCCCCCCTTGTGCTCACTGAGCTATCGTGCAAATAGATGCACAATGAAAACTCTTCCTAGGCACTACACAAAAGCTTGAAATGCCCATAGTGTCCTAGGCTTCCCCACTAAGCCTCTGTCTGTGGGCTGCTGTCCCCACTTCCTTTCCTGAGCCCCGCCCACCATGGTCTCCCACACTTTAACCGCAGCAAATAATTGTTATTTGTGTCTTAACAGTATGCTCCTCTCCCCATCCCTTTGAGAACTTCCCCTGGGACCTGAACTCACCCAACTGAGCTGGGTAGGACTGAGTCTGGGCTAAGAAGCATTTTTCTCTGCTGTGTGTGCACCTTTGGCTAAGGTATGCCTTTCCTGATCCAGAGTTGTCCCTGTTCAACTCAGGTGGCAATAGGCACACCTGTGTTGAAGGATGCAAATGTCCAGTCACTTATTTCTAGGAGAGTGCCAGGAGTGAATGTGCAAGGCAAAACCAACTTTGGCACAACCAGGGTGGCTTTTGGCAAAATAAATGCCCCTCCCACCATGAACTTTCTTGGCTGTTCAGAGCCTCATTTTCTGGCAAGATCAACAGCAACCACTTTTCAGCAGTGGGTCTGGAGCAACACTGCCTGCAAGAACTTCCTGCAAAAATGGAAACACCCAAAGCTGGTTCATCCAAGCCAGCAGCTCCAAGCATGTGAGATCACCGCACCCCAACCGGCCTCTTGACAGAAAAGTCCTAAGTCTGTTGGAAGTGCCAGGGTGGAGCAGGGCATGGCCATCACTGCTCAGTGTCCAGCTGGTAGGCTTAAGCAGCTCCTCTGTTTCACCTGTCCTTGCCTGTCCTTCAGCCTCCACACCCCTGTTCCAGCCCCCAAATTCCCTGTAGCCAATATTCTGAGGACCTTCGTGTATTTGGAAGCTGTGGGGCTTCAGTCCCACATATGGCTTGGGAAACACCCAGTGGTGATCAACTCTTCATGGTCTGATAACTTTACCATTGCCATAAGTTGTTGCCTTCCTGAGTTAGGGACCTGGAAAACATAAATCAGGCATTTGATGGCAACCTTGCCTTTTCCGCAGGAGCTGTAATAGAGATGAATTTTTGAACACTTTATTCAGACTATAAAATCCTCTTAATTTTTCTCAGATGAGGACTCAGTCAAATCCCTTACAGGTAGAATAGCCTCCCCCAAGCCTATCAGCTTGAAAAACTTTCATAGCCTGGGTGCGTGGCATTTTCATCGCCTCAAAGATGAAGTGGAGTGAGGCAGCCGCAGGGTATCTCCTGATTGGAGGGTCCATGCAGCAGTGTGACTAAGCATTTGTGGGTCTCAGAACCAGCTGAGATATGGGAGAGGCCAGGCCCGTCCCATCCCAACTGACCCAAGCTCCAGGATATTTTCCTAGTGTAGCCAGGGTGAACAGTCTCTGGACACAGCCAGGACTCTGGCGTTCATGCTGTCGCTCTGCCGCAGGCCCTCATCTGTTGGCCCCGTGGCACTCTGGCCTCAACCTGCACCTCCCCTCAGCTGCAAGCTACCACCACCACCTGGAAGCCCCGAGCGCCTTGGCAGCCTCAAGAAAGCGGTACGCAAAAACCATGCTGGCTAGGTTATGAGATGGCTCCCCTAACAGGTTTATCTTCTGGATAAAGAAACCGCAGGACTTCATGCTCCTGGGTGGGTGAAAACCCCTGGCTCCCAGAAAAAGGCAGTTAGGATGGAGACAGGGCAGTCTCCATGCACCTTCGCAGGGCCACAGGTGGCCCACATGAACACGAGGAAGGCTCCAGGCTTCCAGAAGTCACAGGTATTGGTTACAGCCACTAGATGATGTTCTTGCGATTTGACTCGTCTCTTCTGGGTCCCTTGGCTCTGCCTTGGTGATGACCTAGTACTAGGACCCCCAGGCAATATGTGGGTTCCCTGAAGCAAAAACTGCCAACCTCCACATTACTTGCACATCCTTTTGTAGTGGAAACTTTTGCCCTGCTCCCCCCCCCCCCCCTCGCCCCAATATCCAAACTGGGCCCAACAGCGATCATTTGGGAGGGAATGCTCTCAATTCAGGCTTGCTAGGTCCCGGGCCCCAAACCAAAAAATAAAAGGCCATCCCCTTTAGGACATCCTTCAAGTGTCTAAGTGTCTGCCCAGGCAGGAAGATGCTGATGTGAACACACGGTGGACATCAACTCTACTTCAAGGAAGGCAGGGGCAGGAGGCCCCATCACAAGGACTAAAAGGTCTCCTTCTCAGGGAGGCCATGATAAAACGAAAGGCTTGCAACCAGCCCTGGAACGGAAAGCTTGTGTCGGATCTTCCCTCCTCCCCCCTCCCCTTGTGCTATAGCAGCCTACAGATGCTGCTGAAGCAGAATTTATAGGGAATTGTTTTCAGGCCACCAGAGAGCTGTTTGTACAACTTGAAAGGTTGTATTTATTTAACGTACCTAAAGGTGTTTTAATAATGATCAGTGTTTTAATAAAAGGTATTTCTGGTCGCTGAGGTCTAACTGGGACTAAGAGGGTCCTGGAGGGACTGGGTTTGGGGGAGCAGGAGGCCACCAAAGCTGCCCATCTAAAACTCAGTGCCAGGGGCTGGGGTGAGAACAGTCCCCTATACATACAGATGTAAACCACAGCTGCCCCTCGTGGGCCTCACATTCAGGGGTATCTGGAAGTAGGGCCTTATAGTCCAAAGTCTTCCCTTTAAGGTCCTGGGACTGGGAGATAGCTTGGTGGATACAGGGCTTGCCAGGCTATCATGAGGACCTGAATTTGGATTCTAAGAACGAAGGGAGGTGCACACTGTAGCCCCACTTCTGGGATGTGCAGACAGGCAGACCCCAGGGGCTCACCAGCTGGCCAGCCTAGCTGGAAAAGCAAGCCCCAGGTTCTGTAAGAGTGTCTCCAAAGGTTAGGTGTGACAGAGGAAGACACGCCACATGTGCTCAGACGGTCACATGTGCCTGCACACAGGTGAAAACACGCCACACCCACCGTGTACCAGGTGGTAGATGCCGTGCCCCCATATCATCTCTAACTGTGCGTCCCCCTCTGGAACCCAGCGCATGCTTGTCCAGGACACACGGGGCATCCCATGGGAAGGCAGGGTGCACCAGCCCCTCTGCCCTTCCACTGGGAAGGCAGGGGCACCAGCCCCTCTGCCCTTCCACTGGGAAGGCAGGGGCACCAGCCCCTCTGCCTTTCCACTGGGAAGACAGGTGCACCAGCCCCTCTGCCCTTCCTTCCACTGGGAAGGCGGGCGCACCAGCCCCTCTGCCCTTCCACTGGGAAGGCGGGTGCACCAGCCCCTCTGCCCTTCCTTCCACTGGGAAGGCGGGGACACCAGCCTCTCTGCTCTCTAGCTTTCACCCCAGGGACTGTTTGCATTCTGCAAGATTTCGAGCCATCTTGAATCTTTCTTTGTTCTCAGTTCTTCTGTCTCTGGGGAGTGAGGAGACCTTGGTGTTGCATTTCCGATGACGTGACTTCCCGCTGCACTGTTGAGCCAGAGTTCACAGTGAAAGGCTCTTTCTCTCCTGCCCCCCCGATGGCCAGAAGTGAAGGGAGCCCATGGCTCAGGCCCCTCAGGGGCTCCCCGCAGAATCAGCACTTGGCCAATAGCTCATGACAGTGGGGCATGCTCTGCTATGGCAGGTCAGAGAGGAGGATCCAGCTTGCCAAGCTCTCCCACCCCAGCCTCCTGAGAAAAATCCCGAGTGTGCCCCATTCCCCACTCATGTCAGGCAACAGCCCACGTGTGGCCACTGAGCCAGGTACAGAACCACACAGATGTTAATATTCTACATGCATGGATCATGCAGGTATGGAGAAATGCCAAGGGTGTGGGCCAACTTCCACACACACACACACACACACACACACACACACACACACACACACACACGCACACACTTCTCCTGAGGTTACAGACCTGTCCCCATTACTTTATGTAGCCATGAGCAGTCTAAAGCCATGTGTCGGCCATGCAGCAGGCGAGTGGGGACCCTGGACTTGGCCTGGTGACATGACACCCTCAGTGACACCTGGTGAGTTTAGCACCTGCCCTCCAACTTCCTGTGTGAGAGCTGCTAAGGTTCCAGGCTAGGGAGGGGTGACGTGGGGTGACACGACCACACATGGCAGACTCACAAAGCCACCGTCCGGACTGTGGAAAGAGAGGCCCGCAGGGCCTGCTCAGCTGACAAACGAGGCACACAAAGTGCTTTTCTGTCATAACTTCAGGTTTATTAGCGATATGCAGGAAGTCTTCCTAGGGTCAGCTGCATGCAACACACAGGTTACTCCTCCAGTACAGTAATCCTAAAGCTTTAGTTACTGTGTAATAAGGCTTCTTAAGTCACAGTGTATTCTTCAAGGCCTGAGCCAAAAAAAGAGACTGCCAGACAAAATGATGTCAGTGCACACTGATCGCTAATGAGATGAGTCAGCCACTGGGCTCCTTAATCCACACACTGACACTGCTCTGTGCTTGATGGCCGAGCACCTCACTTGACAAGTAATTTGCACTCTCACTGGCTCCTTCAGGACAGAGGTGGGATTCTCTGGTGTGGGCTTGCTTTGTTGGGGACAGTGTGTGTGTGTGTGTGTGTGTGTGTGTGTGTGTGTGTGTGTGTGTGTGTCTATGTATATGTAGACTTTTTAAAATAGGGATGTCTCCCATGCTTCTGCCCTTGTTCCTGGCAGGATGATGTTCCCCAATAGGGAGCCCCGTGGTGGAGAAGGAGTCAAAGTGAGGATGTCCAGGGAAATTCACAGGGCCTAGGGGGACTCAGAACAGGCTAGGAGAGGAGAAGCAGCTGTGGGCACAGGTCATTGGAAAACCTAACCCTCTGAAGAATGGCTTTGCCAAGGTCAAAGTCCAAACAGTAATCTTTGCTAAATAAATATGGAGTTTTGACATGGTGACCATCACTTTTTATTTAACTCAGGAGTATCCCCTTGCTGTGTAAATACTTACAATCAATCACAGGTTCCCACACTCGGCTCGAGCCTCATCCTGGGAGCCAGGCTGCCCCTGTGCAGATGGAGGCAACGCCCGCTGTGGGCCCTTGAGGACCGGGTGGGATCCCAGGTGTCCCAGACAAAGGGCAGAGACGGCTGCAGCTGCACCACAGCCTCATGGGCAGCCACCACACTCACACTCCACAGCCTCAGGGAGGAGGGAAGACACAGCACGCCACACAGAAAGAACTACCCGTGAGCACCCTTCATCAGCCACGGTGAGAACGTGGCAGTGGACCGGTAAGTTTTACAGAGGATTGTCCCTCGACTCTCTTTTGGTGAGGACATACCTTTTTTTTTTCCTTTCTTTTTTTTTTGTGACAAAAACCCAAAACCAAACCAAAAACCAAAACAAGAAAAAACTAGGTGATGAGGACACACCCTTCAGGGGAGCCAGAGTTCTTGGTTGGGCTATGGGGTCAGGGGTCAGGGCTCTGTCCTGGCTTCTGGCTCCTCTGGGCCCAGGTGGGTCCCTGGTGTCCCTGCTGCACGGAGAGGCTGGGTGTACCTAGATGTACAGTGGGGTCTCCTGGCCCGTGAGGAGTCTGAACATGGCCGCAGGCATGGTCTTCATGTGAATCTGTAAATAGAAAGGGAAGGCTGAGCTGCCTGCCACTTCTCAATCGAGTGAAAACGAACAGCAGACGCCCAGTCCTGGGAGGCTCTTGACCAGGCTGAGGTAGGTGGGCCCTTTCCCTTTATATGCACTGGGCAGGACTTTTCCCTCTCGTCTCAAGGTGACACCAGAGGAATGAAACATTGGACTTCTGATGGTGGCTACAGTTTGATCGCTGGATGCAGGCACCCCACCCCAGGGCTGCAAGGAGCACTCTGTGCTTCTGTGAGGGGAACACACTGACACTGGATGATGCCAGAGTTCTGGCTAGGAAAACGCCCAAAAGGCAACCTGTCCCAAGACTCCATTCTCTGAGGATCAAGTAACAAAGGGCTCTTAACAGCCCAGCTGCCCTTGCTGGCTCTCCATGGCCTGGGTACACAACCAGCTAACCACAGGATTGCTTCTGGGACAGTAGGATAGAGGAAGACACTGAGCCCCTGAAAGAAAAGAGCAGGCGAGCTTCATTCTGTCATCTTCCACGCCTCTCAACAGGGCCATGCTCCTGGGCTCCGGTTGTGCTGCGTTCAGGCAGAAGCTGCCAGGGTCTTGGCTGCCCCCGGGTCCTCTCCGGCCCATGCAAGCAGACCCTGGCTCCACTCTGCCCAGCTCATACAGGTAAAGGTCTGGAGGTATTTGCTGTGTTCATATTTTAGCTCCTCCACATCCCAGGACAGGCTTTCCCTACCCCTCATACAATCAACGTGGGCTCTTCTGAGGACGGGGGCTCCCCTTGTTTGCCAGCGACCCGAACTCCAAATGTACTTGGGGTGGGTGGAAAACGCCAGGCAGCCAACATTTTACTCTCCCGGCTGGGAGGGCAGTCCCTGTCCAGAGGCTGAAGGGAGTCGGCCACCATCCCCCTGCTTTCCTGCCTCCTTGGGTATCAAGGATTCTCAGGCCAGAGGAGACAGAATCATTCCCTGGGATCCCAGGCCCACTCCTGCACAGGAGTGACTTCTTTAGGTGTGAGGCTGAGCGCTCCCATGGGGGCGGTCATTTCTGAATGTCTATTTAGGAAAACGGGATGTTCTTTTCTTGGAAGCCATGAGTAAGGAGCAGCCAGTGCCCCTTTCCATACACTCCTTGGGAGTCAATGTGCCTCTTCCCTGACCCTGGACCCAAGATGCTGACTTTGTCTCTGTGGCCCCAAAAGAGCTGATTTGAGGAACATTAACCAGGATGCCCTGAGGAAATGGAGACTCACACCCTTCCCTGCCCTCAGGAAATGGGAACCCTGACCATCTTACCTGCATGGTCACCAGGTGGCACCAGAGGGAGTTTGGCAGGTGGCTTGAACCTGCAGGGACCTTAGAATCCAACCAAACATCACCTGGTACCCAACTCTCCCCACGCTTCTGCTCAGGGCCAGCCTCGCCCTCTGTGCTAGCACACCCACTCTCCCAAAGACCATGGTCCCACTCACTGTGGCCACCCTGCCACAGTTCCCACTGCCACACTCATACCCACCCCCCATACTCACATGCACACATTCTCACACTCAGGGGTACATGGCATAAGCACATGTTTGCCACACAAATACACACCCCCCCAAACCCCGCCCATACTGGGGAAGTCTCCTTTCTCTGCACTGTGGCGTCACCCAATCTAGCCTGTTCTGTACCATGCACTGTGATGCTCACTACGAGATCCTTCCTTCCGGACAGTTGTACCCCTCCACTGGGACCCTCTTGGCTATTTCTCTTGCTACCATGGAGATGACCCAAGAAGAGCTGAACTAAGGGGATGGTTACAAGCTAGTGAAAGAGGAAAAGAAAAGCAGCCTGACCCTGAACACAGGAGTACAGAGGGGCAGCAATACCGCACCAGCCATTTATGAGGTGACCAGAGCCGCCTGGCCTAGGGGCCTAGATTTGCAGGATTCTGTTCAGAAGTGGTGCTGGGAGCTGTGCCTGGTGACTCTGCCCAGTGACCTCTGCCCTGAGATACCAGAGAGACTGAGACACTACCTCCCATTGTGCTCATCGTATTCATGGACACTGAGGTGACCACACAGCCTGCTTCTCCTCTGACATCCAGTGGCCACTGGCAGGTAGCTGGGTCACAGATGTTAAAGTGTGGCGTGAGCCAGCATGCAGAGGTGAGTCCAGGGTCCCACAGGCTCAGGCTGTCCTGAAAAGGGCCACTTTCCCTCAGAGGATGTAGTGAGATATCCACCCTGCCCATACCTGTAGCACTGACCACGCCCTGGGTGTGCTCACAGGTGAGGACATGAAGGAGGAGAGGACTAGGTCTGTGGGCCCTGAGTCCAGAGCTCTCTCTTGCTGCTGGTCAGGTCTTGGGGAAAGGCCTGGAAGGATCCTTGGAGCTGGAACCTGTGGTGGTCACCTGCCTCTTGTGTAAGTGCATTCTCCCGGAATAAACTTCACTTAACCTGTACTGAGTCTGGTGAACCTTGATTCCCACGCAATAGAGGACCAGTGGCCTTTTCCAAGCACATCATATGGCCCATAGGGCCAGCTGTTAGGCAGAGAAAACAGTAGCCCAGACATCCTGGACTCCATTGTGAGCATGATGGACTTTGGGGTGGGTCAGCCGTCTTACCTCTCCCACTGAGTTAGACAGAGCCTGGACTATCTTCTCGTGGGCGGTGGCTACCACACTCTGTCCGTTGATCTCGATGATACGGTGGCCGACGCGGACACCACCTCTCTCTGCAATGCCCCCTCTCATGAGGCTGCAGATCTACGGGGACAGGTTAATTCATCAAATCCATTCCCACCACACCGTGAAGATGCTCCACCGTGTCCCAAAGACACCGGAGGAGAACCTACTCTTGCAGAGAGGAACCCAACTTGTCACTGTGACTCACGAGCAAGGACATCTGTGAGTTAGAGTGTGGTTTTAAAAAGAGCCAACACCATCCTGTGGGTGTCAGAGAGCTGCTTCCTGCTGCTGCCTACAGACAGCATCTCCATCAGCCACACCCTGGCATTCTTTCTGAGGAAGACAGCCAGCCCCTCCCTTTCCCACCGCACAGAGAATGAAGTGATAAATTCTTAAGCAACAAATGGAGTTTGGGAAAGTGACACTGTATCTACTCACTCACAAAACTCATTAAAAACCAAGACATTAGAAAAGCAGCATCCAGAGTACTGATATTTGAGTCTTTCCCCAAAGTGATTTAGGACATTGTGTGACAAAAGTAACAAGTTCTTTGAAGACCTTGAGTAAGGTGATTTAGCATGGCCTGAAGACGGGGCACACTTCTGAAGATGCTATTACATTCCTTGTGTCCACTGACTTTTAGAAATTAGAGGGAAGGGATAAAGAGGGGGGAAAAGAGGAGACAGTGAGGTTTGTGCCTCAGGGAGGTGGACTCAGGCTGTGGAGTACAAGGCATTGGAAAGGGGAGCCCGAGGCACCAGAGGGAGCTGTCAGGTACTTGGTGCTGTTAGCCTTCCAAAATGAGGCTTGCACTGCAGGGGCCTTTGCATGCTCTCACTGCCAAGTATGCACTCCAGGGAGTCCCCAAAATGCAGACTCCTTGACTCCTTGGGAGATGCTATGAGAAGAGAAAGGAGGACCCATGTGGAAATAGCCTTGACGGGTCGTCTGGGGCCTGTCTGCAAACTGATGTGCTGTACTTGGGGTGCCATGAGGCTGCAAATGGGAAAAGCACTTATGCAAAACCAGCTCTGAGGTAGGCAGGCTGCTCCTAGAGACTGGGGACTGGGATCTCAGTCATGGGGCATAGCAGAGGGGGGACCTGGCTCCCTGGCTAGCCAGCCACTGCTGGGACTGAAGCAAGTACCCAGGACCTTACAGGCAACTGAAAAGACACAAACACAGCAGTCCTCCTGTACCAGCCCCTGTGTCCCCAGATCTACACATGCCCTCCACTGACACCCCAGTACCTGCTCACAGCCTAAGCAGGGCCTCTATGAAGTGCTGCTCATTACGTATGTAGCCAGGAAAACTGAGGTCAGGGGGACAATGGGATTCAGTGGCAGGTAGGGCTGAACACTTTATGGACACCCCAGAGTTTCACAGACTCAGACCCTGAGCAAGGTCTGACCCCACCTCAAAACCCCTCCTGCATGCCTCATGACCTCTGGAGACTAACGATTTTATACTCAGGATTACGTATGTGTTCCATCAACTCCAAACCCTTCAGAGTCAGGCTTCTGAACTCTGCACCCCCAAACTTCTACCACCCACTTCACTGTCCTCTCAACAGGCTGCCTCCATCCTACAGGCCGCCTCTCTGAGGAGGGTATTTTGGACCCTGTGGTACCTCCAGCACCTCTGCCCCCACCCCTACATATACACCTTGGCCTCTGCTCTGGTCTCTGAGGAAGGGGCTCATATCCCACTTGACTCACCCCAGGGTTCCTTTCTCTCCTCACTCCTCTCAGTTTAGCCCCCACAAACTCAAGCTAGAGCCTCCCCCTGCTTCTTACCACGGCCCCCTCTTCAGACCCATGGAAGTCTTGCAGGCTGTGACCTAAACAGAAAAGGACCTGGACCCCAGGCCTGTGACACTACACAAACTCTCCAATCCTACCGGAAAGAGTGAAGAGTGTTTCTCTCATTGGTAGTTGTCTTTCTAGAATGCTGGTCTAATGCTTTTCTTTGGGGCTGTTGGAGAGCACCCACATCCCCTCTTCTTCCTCATAAACTCTTTCCTCATTGCCCTGAAACACTCTGAGCTGGTTTAAGCAATCCAGGATATGGCCCCTTCTGTAGTCATTTAGTGGCCGTAGCTTTGCCCTTCAGAAGGAGCCTGAGTTCATGCTGGCCAAACAAGTCAATGAAGGTAGTGCCCAGACCAAGAACTTATGCTTGGGAAGCAAGTAGATGCTTGGCCAAACATCCCTTCCTCCATGAAGGCCCCTGTCTTCTTAGTGCCCGCCACAGAGCCTGACAGGGAGCAGGGCTTCACACATGTCTGCTGACTGGGTAAGCAGATGAACTGAACGAGTGAAGCAAGGGAAACATGAAGATGTGTCTGCTGAGCACACTGAGTGCAATGACAGCACTTGGCTGTGTGTGTACAGGCTGCAATAGCTGGCGAGGACTGCGGTTCCCCTTACAACAAGTACTTGATGAGAATAACCCTCGGGGGAGCATGGGTCTGGCTTTGAGGGGGCCCGGGCCACACACTGGCCCACCCTGTCTGCCTTGGCCAGCATGTTCCATCCAGATCTGTTGGGCCGGATGCTCTCCCTAGAGCTGCAGAGTGACAACCCAGTCTTCAGTGCCCAGTCCCTACACGTGGAGAGGGTGGCCCAGGCAGGAGGTGTGGGGGTAGACTCACAATTCCATTCTGCACGCTGAAGCCCAGCTGGTACTTGAGGTCTGGACGTTTGATGAGGACTGTGGTGACCGGTGGGCAGCTGACAATGTTGAGCTTTACCTGTGTTTGGTTCTTCAGACCCTGCAGAGCATGGGGACAAGTCACTAGCTGGTCCTAGCTGTTTCAGGGATACACAAAGAGGAACTAAGAGGACTGAATACCGGAGTCACACTCAGGGGCCACGAGAGCGGCTGTCCCCAGACTGTACACAAAAGAATTTTCTCTTCTGAAGGGCTGTGAAGACATCGCTGTATACCCAAACACCCTCAGCAGACCCCCAAGAGGAACACACCAGCTCAGTAAGAACCTGAATAGGTGCTGGGGGCCTGGGAGCTGCATCAGCACAGGCTATCTAGGAGCCAAGAGGAGTTACTGGCTCTAGAGAGGATAGGTCTGTCCCAGCATCCCAGGCCAGAGTGCCTTGGCCTTTCATGGTCACAATTTAAAGTTACCCAGAGATGGACACACATACAGAGCTCCCAGGACCTGTAACTCCACAGAAACCAGGCTGGGCCTGCATGTATCTATCCCATTGGACAGAGGCTTCTCTAAGTGGACTCGTAAAGCCCCTTCATGTCACATTCTGGTCTTGGGGAAACCCCTTGAGAAAGGACAGAGGGGCTGTTCTAGTTGCATGATTACAAAGGGCTGGGGGAGCTAAGCACGGCTTGTGATGCTGCTACCAATACCAGTACCCACGACCTTGAGTCTTGAACTGGGCCTTATGAAGATCTGACTCCACCTACTTGTATTCCCTCTGCCTAGGCACCCCCCAAAGTCCCAAGCTCATAGGTGAGGTGGTCAGAAAGGGGGCCGGCCTCCCAGAACCCTGTTCACTTAAGACAGCCCACCTTCCGGGCTGCCATGACTAAGAAAGCTTCCAGATAAACCTCCTGCAGGGCTAATTGGGACTATCCCAGGGAAAGCAGGCTGAGTCAACACCCTGCTTACATAGGTCCTCAGCAACTTGCCTGGAATGAGGGGACACCTTCTTTTTTCTATGTTGGGGAAGCTTTGGTCTTCCTTTAACTTCAGGTATGTGCTGGTCTTGGGCTCAGCTGACAGTCATGGACCAATCACTGGGTCTCACTGGACCTCAGTGTCAAGTGAGGGTCATGGGTCAAGTGTGGTGGGGCTGAGGCGACTATGAGCACAGGATCCCAGAATACGCACCTTGATGATGCCCTGGCAGGTAGCAAGGGGCAGCCCCACCAGGCTGGTGCCATTGATGGACATGATCTGGTCCCCAATGCTCAGCTTCCCGGAGCGAGCTGCAGGGCCGCCATTCATCATATTTGCCAGGATCACAGTGGGCAGGATGGAGCCCCAACCTGATTCCACAACCACCACTCCTAAAATCTCACCCTTGTGCTTCTCTAGCTGCAGCTGCAAGAGAAGGGCAGTGTGAGTGGGCGCACTTGTGGCAAAGCCCGGTCCCGAGGAGCCTGTCCTGCCCTCAGGCAAAGGCCAGGTTATGTCAGCTGGGAAAGGTTTGGGGCTGAGAGAACTATCCTGCCTCTGGACTCACCCTGCACCAGCTCCCAACACTATCTAGGACCCAGGAGCATTCTGGGAATCGAGAAGCAGAGTCCCTCTCTTGCCATACTCAGTAGGGATCCCAGTTTGCAAGCAGGGCTCCCGGACCCTGAAGCTCTCCCACCCGCTAAACCCTCTGGGGCCAGAGGAATGCCCTCTAGTGCCTATCTCCTGTCCTAGCCTTTACCCCCATTCCAAAGTCCTATTTCCTCTTCGCTTTAACAATGTCTGTCTCAGAAAACTATCAAGAAGCCAGGATCCAGCATGCACTCAACAGGGATCTAGGATAACTCATTCACTCACTCCCCAGAAAACACACAAAATCATCCCCTCACTAATTCCCAAAGAGCAGACTCATTAATTCCAAAGGCCCCAAGGAGGGCCTCTGGGATCTGCTAGGGTTTCTGCTACCAACCATTTCAGAACTTCCTGCCAACTCACCCAAGCTCCCTATTTTATAGATGCCTCCCTCGAGCTCTGCAGAAATATCTCCTAGTGCTAAGCAGAGTGGTAACAACATTAAGAGGCACATTTCCAGGGCCATTAAGACTGATTGGAATCTTTGTCTGAGCTGCAAGCATCTCATCTCACACCTACATGCACAGCTCCAAGGCAGGAGCAAGACATGTTCTGCAGGCCCCAGTGTTTGACACACTGGTGAGTGTGAGGACCAAAGCCTTGAACCCATCGTTGCCTGGTGAGCTAGATGTGGAGACATTGAGAGGCCACATCCAGGCTGCCTGACCCATCTCTGCAGGGGCTCAGTTCAGAGAGCTGGGTCCAGCAGAACAAGCTTTGGGGGTCCCCGGCCCATGTGGCTCACCTCCTTGCAGTTCTCCGAGTTTGAGAAGTGGATGAGGTCATCATTATACATTTCCTGCGTATTTATGATGTCACTGTATTCCTTCTGGCTCAGGTCTTCGGGGTTGATGCCATTGGCTCTCAGGAACTCCTGGTAGGCCACACTGAAGGCCTGCCCAATAGACTGGGCTATCAGCTGGGCCTGTGGGAAGGGAGCAGGCCTGTCAGACCAAAGCATGGATACACAGTCTCTACTAGCTGCCCAGAAGCCTTCAAAGGAGCTCTTGTTTGGGCTTAAAAGATGAAGGGAGTGACTCTGGGCTCTAGGCTGGTGAAAACTGTCTGCCATTCACATCCACCTCAGGGCACCGTGGTAAATCTCTCTGCTGTCTGTGCTCATGTCCAAACACTGGACAAAGCAATACTTTCGTAAAAATCACAGAAAGTGACAAAGTAGAAGTAGTTGCTAAATACCAGATTTTATTGTTTTAATTAGCAACTGCAATATGTTTTTTAAATTTACCTATTTTATTCTAAAAGTAGAGTGGAGTTTCCCCCCCCACCACCACAAGTGATGCTTGCATGGTTAGCTTCTATTCTATCTCTCTAGAATTATGAAGCCCAAACAGGTGGAGGCTGGTGTGTGTGACACACTGCTCTGGTACAGAAGGGTGTGCCAAACTGAGGGTCACAAGTCATGGATCTGGGACCCAGAACAGACTCCATGTTATCAAGACCACTTCTTTCTATGCCCTCAGGAAGAAACCTATGGAGGCCTGGACACTGATGACAGACAGCCTTCCTGTCTGCGATGTAAGCAAGACGCTAGGAGGCAGGCACTAACGAGGCCATTTCCTGGACCACGCCACGCATGTTTCAGGATGTGCAGCCCTAAGAAGGCGTGGGACTTTTGGAAACATCTCAGCAAAGCCATTATCTCCCTCCCCCACTCAACCCCCTTGCTGTGTGAGCTCCACCCAGCCCAAGCCCTCCCTATACTCTTCCTCCATAGCTGCCATTGAGAAGCCTCTGCAGGGTAACCCTGAAAACCTTGGTTCAGTATGATCAAAGAACGCGGGGGTCTGGCTTCAATTCTTTTCTTCCTCTGCACAATATATGATTTTAATGCTTCCAAACAAATAAGTACATCTAAAATCAAGCTAGGCTGGACCATAGTCTCAGAATGTGGGGCCTTGCTTTAAATATGCACTGGTTCTAGGTGGAACTGCCTGCCCAAATCAGACTCTGAACAGCTTAGAGGGAGGATCCCACCACAATGTTCTTACTCCCACATCAGCATATCTAGCAGGGGGTGGATGTGGCAGCCCAGAAACCACTAGGTGGCGCTGCCGGCCTAGATAGGAAAGGAGCCAGTACAAGTAGATGGGGGTCTTGAGAGTAAACCAGCAAAGAAGGACCACATTTGGCAGGGAGGGAGCATCTCAATGCTCCTGCTGCCAACCCCTTATGTTTCCACCTGGGAAGGGAGGACTGATGGCATCAGATGTCCTTACTACTGAAGCTTCAGACTGCCCACTGACCTAGGTTCTTCTGAGATGCACTCCCTATCCTCCAACCTACTTCCCTGCTATATCACGCCCCTTCTTCCTGCCCCGTGGAAATGCCTGGGAGACTTAAGTCAGCCTTGCATCTTGGAATGATCCCCGTCTTCAGCCACAATCCATAGAGCCATGGAGTGTGCACTGCCCGCTGTCCTCCATTTTCCCCTTTTGCCCCACCCTAGCCCTTCCCCTTGTGCCTTGGCTTCCCTCCTGCCTGGACAGGAGCCACCTCAGGGGCTCACTAGCTGAGGTCCCACTCCAGCCCTTCCCACAGGGATTCCTTGCTCGTTCTAGTTCACAGCCAGGCCTGTGGCTACAGGCTGCTCTGAGCCCCCAGCCAACCTGCAGGGTAGGTGCAAGGGCCTCAGTGACTGGTGGCCTCCTGCTGGTGGGCTCAGGTTCCTACAGAAGTCAGGAGGAGGCTGTAGCATCTACCTGGACAGGTTTGCCATTACATCCTCTCCCTGAACAGCTACTCTGGAGTGCCTGACGTTGCCAGAACAGTTTTTCTCTCACACTCCTTCAAGTATTATTTGGGTCCAACATTCACTGTGCTCCCAGGCCTGTAGCCTGCCCAGTGGTTGGCAGCTAATGGCCGCGAAGGCAGCTCCCCCCTCAACCGCTACCGAAAGATGTCTGCCCCAGCTGTGCCTGGGCCCCTTCTATCCCTTGCTCCCCACGATCTGCACATGAGCCCTACTGAGTGCCCTACTGAGTGCTGTCTCTTGCTTGCACTACACATCACCTGGTATCCACCACACCGACTCTCTAAGACATCCCCAGCTCCCAACCACACCAACATGCCCGTCGCCTGGCCTCAGACCCCCTGCAGTGGCAGGAAGTACATATCTGTGCACTGGTAGGTCTGTCCAGAAAAACTGGCCTCTGGTATAAAACTCACTGTGCGTCAAAGCACTTTCAGTAGACGGCTCAGGAAAAAGGTAACAGTCCTCACACACTGGTCTAAACCTTGTTTTCAGATAAAGATTCTATACTGTGTTTCAAATCATGAACTATATGGATCCTACATTGACCCAGCGATGCTTGAAGCCCTCCCGCAAACAAGCATGCCTTAGACCCCAGAGCTGCCACAACATTGCCACCACTGACAAGCTTGCAATGGTCTCTTCACAGAAGGTCAACAGAGAAAAAAATTAGAGCTCAACTGTAGCCTTCCTGGAATGCCAAGGACCTGTCAAGACACTGGAGCCCCCTCTCCCAAGGTCACCTCTGGTTTTGTTTCTGTTATCTGAGTGTCTTTGTTTTTGTTTTGTAGGCAGTTCTGACTGACACACATGATTCCACTGCCTCAGCTTCAGAGGGGCTGGGATTACACACTTCTGCCAACCTAGGATCTTTTATTTGTTGTTTAAAACTTCAAAAAAGGTTTTGATTTGTTACATGGTAAAATGACACAGCAAATGCAGAGCCTACCTAGCCTTGGTGAAGACACAACCTCCTGTGCATGCTTGACATGTAAGCACACGCATGTGTGCATGCTTGGCATGTAAGCATATACATTTTCATAACAGAAAAGTTAGGCAAAGATGAACTTCATCTCAGGGTGAGAGGCTGTATAGAATGATTCCTTTGGTTAGATAGTTGTTATGTATTTAACAGCTCCAGAAGCACCTGTTCTATGAAGGGAAATAAACCTGTTTATTCACAGTTGCAAGTGTGAAAAAAAGGCGCTGATTCGTCTCACGGGTGGACTCCGGAGCTCAGAGTGACTCCCTGGCTGTTGAGAGAGCGGCCAGCTCCCTGCACCCCACACCCTAACCCTTACTTACATCCTCTGACTCGAACACATGACAGATCATCTTGTACTGCTTCTTCCCCTCCTGGGCCCCAGGCGTGGTCTCAATGCAGTCCTGAGAGGCTGACCGGGGCATGCGGCGCCTGGCCATAAGAACCACGATGTTCCCGATGTCTGCAATGTAGGAGATGGTACGCAGGGCGTGGTCCATCATGGTCTCCTGTCGGGAGGAGGAGGGGCCACATCAGGGAGCACTGAGACTATTCACCACTAACAGCCAGTCTAACCTGGAGTTTTGTAACCTTGACCCTACCACCAGATCTCTCTAGAGCAGAAGGGAGGGCTGTCCTGTAAACTGGAGGATGGTAGCAGCATCCCTGGCCTCTACCCACTGGTCATTGCCAGATGTCCTAGAGGAAGGGTGGGGGGTGTTGAATGCCCACAGCTGTAGTTAACATAGTGTTCATGATGGTCCTGGACAGAGCCACCTGGGTGATGCTTCTCCTACTTGCTGAAGCGCATCCTGGTGACATGTGCGGTTTCACACAGGCTGACTCCAGGCCTTCCCAGCTTTCCTGTGTGAAAGCCAATGATGAGTTTGTCACATGTCAGGAGATAAAGCAGCGAGTCTGCCTGTGGTCAGCGCATCTCTATAGTGGTCCCTGGCCAGGCCCATTACTCCGCATGTCTTTTGTCACTTGATAGGACTCTCCTTGGGCATCCTGCCCATGACCCCTTCCTAGCAAGGCTCTGGAAACCTCATCAGGTGGACTTTTGTGCCTTTGATCTCCCGTCACGAAGGGAAGTCTGGTGTCTCGGGGCTCTTTCCCTCTGCACAGAGTTTCCCCCTTGCTCTGTGCATTGCATGCACCTGTCTAGGCAATGGTCTACTTCCTGCCAAGGGACTTGTCACAGAACAGGGAAGGCGGGGGCTAAGTCTTCAGCATGGAGACCCTGGAATCTGAGACACTGGCTAGCAAAAGCTCCCGAATCATTCCTCAGCTCTGGCTCCTCAGACAGAGGCTGCCACTGTGATGGCCTCACTCTCCCGGCCATGTCTGGCCGCTTGGGCCTCTACCCCCTCACCTGTTCCCACCCTCCAGCCACCTGCCGGGGTTCTGATCCGCCACTGAAAGCAGTCTCCTGCTGCCACCTCCTCTCCAGGTCACTCTAAACAGCAACTTGGAACAAGCTCGCTAGAGGTTGGTGGACTGTTCCTGGGGGACAGCATTTTGGCACGAGCACCAAGTCAGACACAGGGATGGAAACAAAGGACCACCTCAGTAGACCAGATGGTGGTCCTAAGGGAGGCTTGTCTACAAGGCCCTCCTCAGCTGGTACATGGGAAGTATACATATTTCAGAGCATCTGCCACCACATTGCCTGTCAAGCCTGATCCCCATTGCCGTGTGGGTGGCAGAGCCTAAGTGGGACATGGTAACTCTTTTGGGGGTTCTGCAGTCTTGTTATATGGCAAGAAGAGGGTCCCTATGTGACCAGTCCCCCAGACAGGACCTCAGGTCCTGAGACACCTCTTTGGCAGATACACTAGCAGTGGCATTCACTACTGGGGAGCTGATGAGTCTCTGAGGACAGACTGCAAATGCAGGCAGGTTCTCCTGCACTTAGCCCAGGTACCCTTCCTTTTGCTGATGGCTGCAGCCAGATCTGGAATGTCCCCAAAGGCCTCTGCCCTTGGTGCTACTGACAAGTGGAAGAACCTCCAGGAGGCTGGGCCTGGGGGAATAAAGCTAGGTCACTGGGGACACATCCTGGGGGTTATTAGAACCCCAGACTACCATTTCCTCTCTCTTCTCCTGAAAGCCACCAGGAAATTAGCAACGTCCTCCCATGTGATCCCACTATGATGGCTGCCTCACCACCAGCTCATAAGCAGTAGGACCAGCAGGCTGTAGACCAAGTGGTTGTCAACCTTCCTAATGCGGTGGCCCTTTGATAACCATTCCTCATGTTCTGTTGACCCCCAACCATCAAGTTATTTCTGCAGCGGACTTCATAACTGTGATTTTGCTATTGTTATGAATCGTAATATACGTATCCAATATGCAGGCTATTCTATATGTGACACCCAGGGGTCTCGACCCACAGGTTGAGAACAACTACTGTAGACCATCATTGCCCCAACAGTGAGCCAAACAAACCTTTCTTCCTTGAGGCTGATTGGCTCAGGCATTCCAACCCCAACAGTAACAAAGAGTTAACTAAATGGCAGAAACACACTGATGCTGGGAACCGGGGTCCACACTGCAAGACAAAGGGGAGTGTATGGGATGGGGAGGAGAGTGCGGGATCCCAGTAGGGGTCTCAAGGAGAACGAACGTATAGCTTTTTGCGGCACATACAGTCTAGCTCCATGAACTGCCAGGGCTTAGGAGCAACGACACGCCAGCAACAGCGAGCATAGCCCGCAGCCAGGCTCATATTTATGTATGTCACTGTCTACTAAAACAAACTGTGGGGCCCGCAAAAGATGCCTGGCTCAGGCCCGAGTCATTGCCAAATATCTTACGGTCTCCAACATTGGCGGGAAGGAAGAACACCAAAATAACACCACAACCAACAAGGTTCTCAGTGTCTAGCGGAAAACTGGGCAGGGAAGACAGGGAGTCGTAGAGCAATATCAGTTGGCAGTAGACAGTGCAATGTCTTTATAAATCACTGTTGTGCCGCTTCCATGTTGCAAACAATATGGGCAAGACTGTCAGTAGCTGCCAAGAATTCAGAGAGTAAGGGATCAGGGACACAGAGGCTGGTGCAGGGCTTTTCCACCATGGGCCACGACCCCCTGGCAAACTTTTATCCTCAAGACTATTTACATCACAATCCATAACAGCAGCAAAACTACAGCTATGAAGTAGCAACCAAAATGATTGCATGGTTAGGGGTCGCCACAACAGGAGGGACTGTATATTAAAGGGTCGTAGCATGAGGAAGGTTGAGAAGCACTGGTCTAGTGTGTCACCTCCTGATTCTCTGACAATGACAAAGACACAAAGGCACCTTGAGCCTGGGTGTAGAAGCACAATCCTCCTGGGGAAAGCTCTTCTGCAGCTAGAAACCCACTCTCCTGATGCCCCAGGCTCAACAGTTGGCTAGTGTCATTCCAGACAGATCCAGGGCTTACCTGTGTGTCAGCGTTTAAAACTTTGATCCTCTGGGTAGAGATGAAGAGGTCTACTTCTGTCAGTGTCTGAGCATCGCCCTCAGAATTCTAAGAAAGAACAACAGATGTTGTCACAACCCAATCCACTGCCTCATACACTGCTATAGTGAGACGGAGGGAAATGGGGCAGCCCCTGGAAGCCTGCATGCATGGGTGCTGGGGAATCCCCCCTGGAGTGTGAGCTCTCAAGGGACAGCACACAGGGAGAGGAGGCAACATGCCATAGCAGGTGCCTGGGGTCTTATCGGCTCCCTTGGCAACAAGCCGGGTCCCTTGGTTAATTCTTGCTGGATGTGGTAATAGTGACTGTTATCGTACTCCAGGTACAGACTTAAGGTTGGAGACTCTAGGAAATGGGGGTGGAGGGAAACGGTCTCCAAAAAGTTTGCTTCGGACCTAAAACCTTCCTTTTTACTTAGATGTTCACAATGGCATGGACGCCCTTCCAAAGACCACAAAGAGAGACAGGGCTGGGCATTGCCTGACAGTGACATGCTGGTTCAGGGAGAAGCTGTCACACCTTGTTTGTGGTCTCCGCTGGAAGGGGCTCAGTTTGTCAGCTGTATTTCAACCTCCTGCTCTGGAGCTGAGTAGCTACTCAAGGTCTGCCCCTAAGCAGGACAACTTCTAATTGTTATTCACACCTGTGAGGATCCTAATTACCTCACAGTGGTACTGAGAAAGAAAGAACTGTCCTGTCGTGCACCCCGCCCCCGCTTTGCCCACTGGGGAGAATAATTCAGTGTGGTCACTGGGGGGCTATGGTGGTGTCCTCCATCACAATATAGCAGAAACTGTGATTTAATTATTCAGTAGACAACTTTCCAATCGAAATCCTCCCTGCAGACAAGTTCTCAAGGATTCTAAGTTGCAAAGAGACCCTGTATTTCAGTGACAACATGTGTCTCAGCTCTGTTTCCAAGGGCCAAGATCTTTGAGGCCGTCAGTTTACCACAAGATGACCCTGCTTTTAAATAAGTAGAAAAAGAACAGACTCCTAGACAATCGAGTTGAAGGGAAATCTTCAGGACCACAAGGAACTTCTCCTCTGTTTAAAAATACCTGGGTTACATTCCACATCAGTGGAATCCCCACCACCACAATGCTAAATTAATTGTTTAAGTAAACTTACAAAGTCACTATTCCATCATGACATCCTCATACACATGTGTCATTACACTTTGACTGTTATGTTCTGAGATTATAGCTCAAAACTGCTGCTTAAAAGTAGGAAAAGCTAGAAGTAAATAAATAAAACAAAATTATGGGCTGGCCTTGGTGTTAGGGATTTGAGTGAAGACACGGAGGAGAGGCTGACAAAAGGGATGGGGTAGGTCATCTATGACCTGCCCTGGCAAAAGATGGAGAGAAACAAAGTCCTACAAAAGCGCTACAGAGAACAGGGTTGGCTGTGGTTCGGCCAGCACAGGGTCCCCCACTACCCGTGGTCAGATCACAAAAGGGGCCTTACACAGTGACCCCAGACACTGCCCGGGAAGAAGGAAGGCCTTCTGAACCAAGTGGCCTGGCTGCCGACCATTCTGAAAAGGGTTGCGCTGTCTCACCCCATCAGAGTCTGTGACTCCAGAGGATTTCAGGGCCCATAGACCCAGAAATCCAATCCCTAAGACCCCAGTGCTCTCACGTCCCCCAATCCTGGGCAGCGCAGGGGAGGACAAGGATGGCAAACACGAAGGCACTCCTCTACAGGGAAGCATGTCCCAACCACGAGCCTACAACCTACTGCCCCTTAGCATCCAGTCTGCCTTGGAAGAGGGAGAGCCGAGAGCTCATCCCCCAGATAGGGAAAGGGAGCCCAGCAGGTAGGGTCCTTCGGCCATAGCACCAAAAACCGCTGTCACTTTGAGGACAGGGGAAACTAGATCTCTTGTTGTTGGAACACAAGGAAGGAAAACAGGATAGCTAACATGCCACTGCACTGCATCTCCATGGACTTACCCAAGGCCCCCTGACACCAAGCTTGCTGGTGTCATCTGTAAGTATACAGAAAAGAACCACCATCTACTGAATGACTAGGTCAACAAACCAGTGACCGTCAACCTAATTTTGAAAGTCTACCCAGGCTTTAAAAACAGTTTTCTTTTCCTTCCTTTTTCTTTTTCTTTTTAGGTGTGTGTGCCAAGACCTTTGCTCACGAAGCAGCTGCTCTACCACTGAACCACGTCTAGTGGAGAGGGCAGCCCCAAGTCAAACTACTACTCTTTGTCTTGGTGAAAACTAATGGACCCAAAGTTGATGCTATACGGGAAACTGAGTACTAGACACACTACACTGTCCTAGCAAATGTCCTGTTTAGAAGTGTGCACATGAAACAGAGCTCTGCAGACTGAAACATGCTGCAGGACATGGGAGATAGTAGGTAAGAAAAGCTGATATTAACGTGGGACAACAAAGTAAGCAGTATGGCTTCACTCCAAATCCAGCATTCTCCTAACAGAAGAAAAGCCTCTGTGGCACTGCTTGAATTCCCACCAGAAGTCCCCATGCATAGAGTAAGACAGGCAGGCACACACGCACACGTGCACACACACAAGCACCGCTGTCTCAGGCCCACACAGGTCCTACACACCGCTTTTTTCTTGATCTTAGCAGCCTTCTGCATCCTCTGAGAAGCATGGAAGAGAAAAGAAAATCAGGAAGGAAGCTGTGACAAGGTTATTTTTCAGCTTTGTGCTCAACAGGAAGAACTCGGACTCTGTAAATCCCTGGCCGGGTCCGGTGGACAATCACTACTGTACTGAACACATACAATAAAGAGAAGACCATTTCATGCCTGTCACCTCCGGGGACAGAAATGACCACCACTCACTCCATATACCTGAGGATGGGATCAGGCACCAGGAAACAGGCCAAGGTGGGTCAGGAGCCATAGGGCCCAGAGCCTTGTTCAAAGGAAAGGTGCAGGCTGGGCTCAGCCCTGGCCCTCATGGCTTACAGGCATAGATGTCCCTGTGGTACCCTCCGCTTCCATCCAAGGAGGCTAGTATGTGATGGAGGCAGGAGGGGGTGACATTGTCCCTCATTCCCATGAGCTGGCAGTATATTCAGGCTCCACCTTATCCAGGGTGGGCACCATGTCCCCCCCTCATATGACCTTATGTAGCTTTGCTGGTATGGTTTCCCCTGCTCATCCTTACCTGCTGGAAAAACCACACAGGCCAAAAAGTCTACAGAGCTTTGAGTATGTCAGTTATCCTTGAGGCCATACATTTGAGTGACACTTGATGTATCCTCCCCTGCTTCTAGAAGCACTTTAGTGCTAAAAATACACTATTGGGATAGGATTTAAGGCTCCAAACAAATATGCTTAAAGACTGGAAGGCTTCAGAACCGTCAGCTATCTTTGAAAACTGCTTCCCAGGGGCTGACTGGACCATGCTTAAGGAGAGAGTGATGACTGTGCCAGCCAGGCTGCAGGTCTCTTTTGGGTGCTGGGTCACACCTGCTTTCTGCGCTGGACAAAGCACCTGAACCTCACTGTACTCCCCCTCAGGGCTCCCCCAGGGGCCCTCCCAAGTAGCACTCAGGGCCCGGAAGCACCCCACCTTGACCCTGCTGACAGCCTCCTGAGCCTGCATCATTCGGATGTTTTTGGAGGGGTTGCGCTCAGAGAGCAGCTGGGTGGAGCCCAGGTAGTTGGCTGCAAAGATGATCCCATCGATGAGGTCTTCTGGCTCACAGGGCCCTGGAACTGAGGAGGTATAGAGTGAGTGCCTTCCTAAAAGAAATCCACCAGGACCAGGAGCTTACGTGCCCAGCCGGCACAAGGTACCCAGCATCCAGGAAGGCAAAGCGGGGCGACTGGGCTGTGCAGTGGACCTGCAACTCAGAGGAAGTCAGCACAAGCCACACCCATGGCCGAACAGCTCTGCATGAACGGTGTGACGAGGGGCACACCAGCAACCGTCTCCCAAGGTAGCCCAGCCTCCAGGGTTCCCCGCACCTGCTGTGGTCCAGAAAGGACTGCCTCCCAAACACAGCAGCACTGCCCATACTCTCATGGAGCTACGCGCAGGTCCATGCTGAATTCTTCGGGGACTTTTCTCTTCCCCTCTCCAGCAGGGCTCCTGCCATCCCGCAGCTTCTCACCCCAACCCAGGCCTCAGGGGGGCAACGTGGCCGTGATCCTATCCGCTGCCTCTAGACTATGACCGCACAGCAGAAGCTCTGATGGAGTGCACCACCTAGACCATGGGCACCGGTGCTCTGAGCACTTCAGCTGAAGACTGACTGTTCCCCGAGGTGTGGCTGATGCTCTGTATAAGTGACCCATATGAGTGAACTTCAGCTCATGCTCTATGTAGTGAGACCCAAGATGGTTTGTGTCTGTGCTGAGCAAGTACAGATAATTCACTTGTGGTTATTCCCTGAAAAACTACAGTGTAACCGTTGTTCACCTGAAACTTCTATTGTAGCCAGTGCTTTAAAGCTATCTAGAGATAAATTTGAGTGTGAGGGAGGGTGTGCATTTTTATCTGAGGGATGTGGACAGCTGCAGACTTGCTTCCAGAGGAGTCCTGGAACCAGTTCTCCATAGATATCAAGGGAGGAATGACTGTAATGTTAATACACTGAAACATTGAGAGCCACAGGTTAGTGGTCCGTGGCCATTGCAGCTCTAGTGAGGGGTCTACTAACATGCTCTGTAAGGGGCAGATGGTGACTATTTCAGGGCTTGACCTGTCTGTTGCAAAGACCAACTTCTGCCCTTGAGGTGCAGAAGCTGCAGTGCTTAATATGGAAATGAGTGGATAGAGTGTATCCTATCAAAGCTTTATTTACAATATCAGGTGGGACTATAGTCAACTGACAGGAGACGTAGCATAGGCTTACACGGCTGCACCTGCTGCTAGTCAGGACCTTCCTGATCATCCTGTATAGACCGATGCTCCAATGACTTCCGGTCTGCTTGGCATAGCTCTCACACCAGCATAAAGCCATTGAGTTCCCCTACCACTCCACGTCCTTGGGGAAGAAGCATGGCCCATTGTAGAACCCAAGGACAGATGGAGGTAGGTGGGATGAGTCAAGGGGATGGGACGTGGTCCTTTCCCAAGCCTGCGTCCAGTGGTGGGCATGTGCCCAATGACCACTTGACACTCCTCACCATGATAGCCAATGTGACCTGGCCAACACATTCCACCTGGAGCTCCTTGGGCAGCAGCCACGCTACAGGGCTATCCTGGGGGCTCTGCAGCCCGCGGCCTTCTGGGCTCAAACTGGCAATCCAGCAAGCACCCTGATGCCTGGTCCATCACAGGTAGCTCCTCCCACTGTCATTGTCACTTTGCTGATGCTCAGTACAGCTGCATCCTGCTGCCTGGGTGATGTCTTTTTTTACCATGCTTCCTCCAGCCGCCCACTTTAGCATCGAGCTTGGTGATGGGTCAGGTCGGAAAGACCAACCCAGCTGAAGATCTCTGGTGGATGTCAGGCCACCATGGACTCTCCATGGAGATCTCCTCACCGAGAACTCCCCCATATCATCATCAGCCTCCCATCCCACAGTGCTGGCCATCAGTATGCCATATACACAAAGGCACACAGACTAGTGCTACACACACACATGCACACACACATACACAGAGAGAGAGAGAGAGGGAGAGAGAGAGAGAGAGAGGGAGAGAGAGAGAGAGTGAGAGAGAGAGAGAGGGAGGGAGAGAGAGAGAGAGAGCACTGAGGGGTAGGGTGACACAGGTTATGGCTCCGGACCTTACACACTGGCCCCGTGTTCCTCCTGGGAATGGAGGGGGTGTGAGCTTCCAGCAATGAGGAGTCCTTGGCTCTCAGAGGAAGACACACCAAATTATTAAAGCAGCAAAGTGCCTGTGATTATCTTAACCCAAACTCAGAAGAAAGAGGAAGATGGCTACTAAGGCTGAAGGAATTGCTGGCACCTGAGGCAGGCAAGTCTGGCATCTGATTGCCAGGTGTCTAGCCCAGGGAGACCACGTTTGTGATCTAGAACTGCTCTGTAGGCCCAGCTACCTCACCCTCAGTGAGGACAGATGGAGCAGAGGGGTCACAACACTCAGAGAAACTCCTGATATGGCAGCCATTCAGAGGAAGGACTCGTGAACTCATAGTGGCTGTTCTACAGGATTGGGTCTCTCAACAGTTCATCCTGGAGAGGGAAGGGCTGGTGAGGTTCCCTCCCTAGGTTGTTCCAAGAGGGATGTCACTCTCTTCGGTGGTGTAGCCACTGGCAAGTTGCCCATGCCCCAGTAAATAAACCCTTACCTATGACACATATGCTGCCCACCCCACAAACACAGTGCTCTCTCTCTCTCTCTCTCTCTCTCTCTCTCTCTCTCTCTCTCTCTCTCTCTCTCTCTCACACACACACACACACAAACACACAAAAGACAAACACCACAAAGAAAAGGGAGGAGATGGGAGAAATTGGGTTTCAGAAGGAGAGGATGGTGAGATGGGGTAACTAATGGGGTGTGAAAATGACCAGAGTTAGTTATGTACATGTATCAAACTATCAAAGAATAAAAACGAGGACTCAAGGCTTTGGCTCTCAAGCCTGTGGCTGCAGGCCTCTGAACTTGCTCTGAGTGCACAGCTGAGCCTTCAGGGATGAAGGGGGCCCCGTTCAGCACTGGGGCAGACCTAGGGGACTCAGTAAGGCCAGGATTGGGACAGGCATGCTCAAACTGAAAGATAGCCACAGTGGAGCGGAGGGGACTCAGGAGACACCTCCCCAGTCAGGAGTTTCTCAGGCTAAGCACACGCTGGAATCATAGACCTACAGTAGCGTTCTCAGGCAAGAGCTCCCACACCCTGACCCCAAGGACAAGACGGCCTCAACTGTCCCTGCAGCTCTCTATCGTCGGGCCTAACCAGGCTCCTCTTCCATCAAAGGTACCATAGCCCTCCGTCTAGAGCTGGCTATTGGCATAGATGGTCCTTGTGCAGGTGTACCAGCCAGGGCATTCAGAAGCCACCAAACATAAGCAACAGGAACCATCACAACCCAGGTGCTGCCACTCTGACTTCCGGATTTCGGTTTTTCCACCACAGGTTACCTTGGGCTTAATCCTCTCCAGTGAACACAGGTCGGAGATGCCTGCATCATTGGTGAAGGGGCATCTCATAGACTTGCATCCCTCAAGTGGGGCCCAATGCAATAACAGTGTGTGTGTGTGTGTGTGTGTGTGTGTGTGTGTAAAGGAGGGGTACTACTGTGTCCTGTGTCTGGTGCAGGGACTGTGTGGTGTGTGTGTGTGTAAAGGATGGGTACTATTGTGTCCTGTGGCTGGTGCAGGGACTGTGTGTGGTGTGTGTGTATGTGTGTGTGTGTGTGTGTGTGTAAAGGATGGGTACTATTGTGTCCTGTGGCTGGTGCAGGGACTGTGTGTATGTGTGTGTGTGCGTGCACGTGCTTGTGTAAAGGAGGGGTACTACTGTGTCCTGTGTCTGGTGCAGGGACTGTGTGTATGTGTGTGTGTGCGTGCACGTGCTTGTGTAAAGGAGGGGTACTACTGTGTCCTGGTGTCTGGTGCAGGGACTGTGTGGTGTGTGTGTGTGTGTGTGTGTGTGTGTGTGTGTGTGTGTGTGTGCGTGCACGTGTTTTGTGTAAAGGAGGGGTACTACTGTGTCCTGTGAATGGTGCAGAGACTTTATCTACCCTTGGGAGACTCAGCCAATACCAGGGTCTAAACTAGGTAAGTGTCCTCTCATCCTGTGGGAGGGAGGGACAGGGACAGGCCTCTGAATCTGCCTCCCACCTTTGAGAGGCTGCTGACACATGGCTCCTTTCGTTTCGTCAGCTCCCCAGGCGACCTGAGCAGCTTCCTGGGCCTGGATGAGGCTTACGCCTGTCTTCATGCCTGTGCCTGAGAAGACTATTGACAGCACTGCTGTTCCTCACTAACCTGAGAGCAGTGGAGGGCACAGACCCTGTGTGTGAAGGGCACTTGTTCCTCCTTTGTCCAACTCCCCAGCAACCCTTAGCTGACACCAGCAGAGGGAGACAGAGAGCAGAGTAACTCCAAAGGTTTAACAGACAGGTGAGCCTGAGTCCCCAGAGGGCAATGTGCCCCCTCCCTGATGTACCCGTGACTCACACGGCATATGTCCCTGCTGGTGACAGGGGTGTGGGACACTGTCCTTCCTTCCCTGTCTGAAGCAGCCTTTGTTTGCAGCGTGTTAGAGCACCTGCAATCCTGACCCAGGACCCTTGTGCTGTGTGTGGTCTTAGAGTCTGCACTTGGACCTGAGGCTTCTTCCCGGCTCTGTGGACAGGGAAATGTTGGGGTCTCATGGAGCTGTACCTGGGATCACCCATCTCTGCTACCTGGGCAGGACACTCCTGCGTGTAAGGAGTGGGCAGAGGCGGCTAGCTCCAAAACTGACCATCTCTCCCTGGGTGCCAGCACAGTTGTGGGGCTGGATCACAGCACCAAGTGGCCAGAATTCTGTGCAGCTGGGCGGTCCCAGGTGCAGCTGCCATGTCTCACTCACCAGCCGTGTGTGATAGCAGAGTCCCAGCCATCAGTCCTTCACAATCACATGAAACCAACCTCATTGTCCCATTTTATGAGAAAGGCCATTTAAGCAAGGTCAAATGGCTTGCCCCAAACCAGTGTCCTGCCTGTGAGGACTTGTGATGTCACAAAACATGGCTCACAGGCTAGCGGGCGAGGCTGTCACCAGTCCACAGGCCAACATAAACTCATCATG